AATATTTTATTGTTATATCTATATTCATTTTTAAGATCAAAAATAAAAACATTGTTTTGTGCGCTATATTTGTAGCGCGATATGTTGGCTTGTGACTGATATATAAAAAAGTACCATTTATTTTAAACAATGTATAATATCTTTATTAGCATCACGACATGGATTTATTATAAAAAAATACAGTGTCCTTTAGGAAATGAAAAATTTTAACTCAATCTAATAATAATAAATAATAAATAAAACACCAGATCTATTCAAAAATGATAATATTCACAATTATCCAACAAGAGGTAACAAAAGAACTAGACTGTGTTTTAATTGTGTTAATTTAAATGTTATTGTAAAAGACACCAAATATATAAACAAAATATATACTTAATTACTTCGCATAATTTAAAAACTATTTTTCTTTTTTTCTTTTCAACTGTAATAGTACTTTTTTACGGTTGTACTTTTTCTGCGATTTTATACTTACATGATTCTTTTTGTCAGCGAGACAAGCGAAGACTTCCGAAGTCCCCAAAAGATGACTCGGGAGAAAAATGACAGCGGCCGAAGGAGTCTATTAAAAGGGAGGCGGCACTGCGGGTTAATTCGCAAGGAAGCGGGGTCTGCTATAAGCGTTAGAGACTGCCGTAATAAATCCAATGATGGTCTTACACGGTCTTGCACTTAGCCACATTTTAGCAGCGCCACGGGACATATAACAACCGGATTAGACCGGTTGAATTCGGTTCTAAAGAGTGGGGAGGGAGAGAGTAAATCGAGCGGCAAATATAAAATTTTTGTCCGCCTTAATTTATAGTTTTATGGTCTGGTGACATTTCTTTTTTCTAGTAAAGGTGTAGCCGTTTTAACAAAGAAAATTGTTTTCTAGGAAATAGGATAGGAATAGGATTTCCAAATATGTGTAGAAAAAGAATGTAGAAATGAATAGTTAAATTGACATCCTAAATGCTCCTTAAAAAATATAGTGGAAACGAGGGTATAGTGGTTTCAAAGAAATTTGCCAAAAAATGTAAATATTAATTATTTGGTTTAAAATAAATAATTTGTTTTGGATCTACATACATACTATGTCATTCGAAAAAGTTAAAAGGGTTTTTTACTAATGAAAAAAAAAGTGTCATTTAGCTCTCTCTGTCCACGTAACATGCAGGTAAATTTGAAAACCACCAATTTGAAATATTCCAAAATAGCAGTAACCAAACATTTATTAAAACAGAAAATGGAGTAGATTATTTACAGTAGTGCAGGGGTCATACCAGCACACACAGTGCACCAATAATTCACACGTGAGACATTGCACCCACTGCTCTCCACTTCGCAAAATTGTCCACTGCAGAAAAAAACATATAGTTTCCTGATCTTCTGGCTGTCTGTCTAAATCGAATTCCAGAGCAAGTTCCTCTGAGGAATTTGAAATATTTAAGGTTGCGTTAGACTATCTGTTTCTAGGTCTTCTGAGTTTTGCTTTCTTTTTCCTTTCTGACCTCTTTTTGTTTTTCGGCTTTATTAATAGTCTCATTCAAAGTTAATTTAAACACTTTATTTGGTTGATCTTTCATTGCTACCTCCTCAAGTTTTTTGTTTTCACGAAGCTTATGCGCACCTCGTCACTATAATATGACTTTAAAGGTCCCATAAATGATCTGGTATAATGAGGGGGTAGCGACAATAGGCTTACGTTTTTATCTCTTTTTGTGTGGCTATACTGCTCGCCAAAAACTAGCAAAACTAGCTACTTTTCAGGTGGTTTTGTATAATCAATAAAGAGCCTAAACCACTCTGTAAATAAATTAGTTTGAATCCATCCAGACGGATGTGCCTTGCGTATAGAGGTGCTCCCCTCATTACCATGATTTCGATTGAAAAAATAATCGTTGGTGGCACAAATATAGCAGCAATGATTTTTGGAAATTTACTCTGAACTATGGACATAACAGTTTCGTCCACATTGAAAACACGGTCAGATGAAAACTTCTTCGATTCATAGACTTTTCCTAGAAAATCGTAGAACGTTCTTTTGTGAAACCATGTGATTTAGTGTTTATTAAAAACAGGTTTTCGCCCAATGTTTTACCCATTTTTTTGTGTCTTACTGCCAGCACAGCAGCCGCTATATCTTCTGGATTCCAGTTTTGTCTCTTTTTAGGAGTTTTTTTGGACAAAAACGAAAATAGAAATTTTTAAAAATCATAATTTGGAATATTCCAAATTTGCATCATTTATACTATTCCAAATTAACAATATTAACAACGTTAAAAAAGTAAATGCTTTAACTTATCGAAAAAATGCAATTACCAACTTTTAATATAACCTTTTACTTACCTGAGGACCCAATTTAAATTTAAATTAATTTAAATCGATTTAATGGCACTAAAAAAGTTTTAGTCACCCCACAATTAATTTTTAACATGTGTTTACCAGCTACCATCAGTCAAAATAACTACAGAGTCAGTTGTCCACTAAATGCAGTTTACACCAGATTTAACGAGATGGCATAGTATTCCAAATTACCCACGTATTCCGAATTACCCCCATTTTTCATTTCTCGTGTAACATTTTTCCAAACAAAACTATGCAGAGACGCTTTCTCAATTCGGCGTCTTAAAGTCTTAATGTCGAGAAACACCCAGTATCTGGGACGCGCCCAAAGTGTACGACATGTACGTCATCGACTAACCAAATTAAATCTGAAACGGGAACGCGGGTGGTATAAATTCGAGAGAGTATGCAGCCGCGGTGTCACCCCGCCGAAAACAAGATCAGCTTGATTGGCGAACGCTCCGTCGAATTAGGGCAAATTAAAATTAATGTTCCGGTCGCTGAAGTCATCGCGACGAGTGACGCCGTCCTACATCGCTTAACAAGGATTCGATTAACCCGCCAGATCCGTCCTGCCTGCGCCGTATAACTATTCCAGCCTTTAGAGGAAGTAGATGTAGTTATTAATTCCGCTAAATACTATTACGTAACCAATATGTGTGTATGTCTATGCTTAATCAGCCAATGACACCCAGCTCGGGTTTTGAAGGAAAACCCTGTCTACTTAGTTTATCGTACACCCTGTGTATAGGGTGATCCGTTTAAAAAGGGCCTATACCTTATCTCAAAACCTTTGATTTAAAAAAAAAATACAAAATTTATTTCTATTAAAATGACCTTTATTTTTATTTTCCTAATCTCACTTTTTTATATACAGGGTGGTAAAACAGAGTTACATTTTTTTTAAATAGAACACCCTACATTTTATTGCATTTTTGGATAGTCTTTTCAATGACAAATTGAACGATATATATGAGTATCGGTCTGTGATGCACCGTTTCGAACTTATTAGCGATAATCTTCAGAATTCGGGTTACGTTTAAAGCATCATTGGTGGGTTGCATTATTTTTACGAAAATAATGATTTTCTTTAGGCAGTAATATGTAAATTCTTTTACATTCGTAATTTAAGAATCTTGTAATAAGGTCCTTAAAACATAACATAACCCGAATTCTGAAGATGATCGCTAATAAGTTCGAAACGGTGCATCACAGACCCATACTCATATATATCGTTGAATTTATATTTGAAAGGACTATCAAAAAATGCAAAAAAATGTAGGGTGTTCTATTTAAAATAATGTAACTTTGTTTTACCACCCTGCATATAAAAAAGTGACGATTAGGAAAATAATAAAAAAGTAAACGTCATTTTAATAGAAACAACTTTTTACATTTTTTTTGTAACTCACTTAAGTTTCGGGATAATACAATACATCAAAAGGAATTAAATCAATTTTACTATTTCTCAGAGCGATAGTCGTGGCGCCATCTAATTTCTAAAGGGCGAACCATTACAGCGGTAAACTTATTAGCATGCCCAGATTGCGACCGATCCGGAAATACTTGTTAAGGTGCCCATTGTTTAAGTTATTTTTTGGTTGCAAATAAAAGTTTGTGAGATAATTTGTTTGTGGAGACAATTTATTACAATGTAATGTAATGCAGTTCAATCTAGAATGAATTTGGAGTTTTTGTAGCTGGTATACTTAAGAAAGTTACAACCAACTATTAAACTGGAGATATTCAATACTACTGCGGAATGACTAAATAATAAAACTGTGACTTGTTGAATAATTTGTGTAGAACTATTTAGCATTTTATACATGTAGGAGTACTTTTGCCATTTGTCCCTCGACCATGAAATTCATTCATTAAATTATGTCATTTCAATAACACCCTGTATACCGTAAAATATAAATTATGCTGCCATTTGTAGATGAGAGGCGAAACTAAATCTGAATTCTGTGATTATTATATTTGGTCGTAAGATATCAACTAGACCCGAGGGTCTTGTACTTGTACATTTCTTCTAATAACCTCAGGTAACATTGTAACTTTGTTTGATAGATTGTGATGATCCGTGCTCGAGAGAATGGTAGAAGATTTTTGTTGCATTGTGAACAGTTAAAATTTGTGCGTATAATTACTAAGTAGGAATAGTGTAAGGTTAATATTTTGTAGTGTCACGACTTTTTTAAGATATAACCGTCAGATACTCGCAGACCGGACTATACGCGCGAATAAATGCACATTACACAAAAAAGCGACCTTTATTAGGTGAAAAAACGCAATATAGGCAATGTTCGACGACAGTCAGGTAGGGGCCAATTTTCAGCCCCTTTTCGTCGAGGCCGCGCGAGAATATCGTCATTTTCTCTTCCCTCGCAATACGGTTGTTCTGTAGACCGTAAAATCGACTCCGGCAATCCGGTCTAATTTAAACATCGGAGCGACAAGACGCTACATTAAACGCTAGGTATCTGGCAATAGCATTCCGAATGCTTCGAGGTTCATCATGACGCGCAAAATCATTTGGCACAGCGTGTTGCGAACTTAGCTCGCGTTAATTTTCACGTTCCTCTTCTTATTCTTGTTCTCTCTCTTTCGGAAAGGATTTTTATTTAACGGAATATGTATTTTTCACTGCTGATAAAAAAAATTGTTTGCAGCCGTACACGGGCAAGAAGCGTACCTTCAGATCCAGCCACGCACGAGGATAGTGAGGAAAGAGGTGGGCGGCACCCTAGCCCTAACGTGTCGTCCCATAGCTCCGAAACCGGCTCTGGTTACTCAGTTAGAGTGGAGAGATCCACGTGGACGAAGGATAGACATCCTGAACAAAGCTAGCCCGATTTATGTTCAGGTATAATTTTATGTTACTTTGTCCGCAGGGTATAACGAACATTTTTTGCCTTTAGAGTATATCCGGCGATACTGGTCTCATGTTGATGTTCACCGAGTTGAATGAGCAGCAGCAGGGCAACTATAGCTGTCACGCGAGTTACGCTACTGAGCCGTTGACGGCTGAAGTCGAAGTCAGCACATTCGGCAAGTTCGAACGGTCCCTAAATTATTGATTGATTGACATCATAATCAACAAAAAATGAAAGTATCCAAAAAACTTCTGGATTCCTCCTGCGTCGGATTTTGTTGAGTCGAACTAGCTAATGTTTCGCCAATCACGTCAAAATATCCCATCACGTCAAAACCTCGTCCGCTTATAAAATGCTTCGAAAATCTAGTTTCGCTTTACTTCGAAAAACAATTCATCATAGCCGTAACGTAATTAATAAGACTCTTCTGTTTCTATATTTTGAAATTGCTTCCATCTTGTCACCATCCGAGTTCGATACCCTTTCCTGACAAAGCTTTAAATCTTTGTTTATCTTGTACCCAGAATCACATTCAGAAATTTGAAAAACTAATGTCAACACTGGGGAAACCATCAAACTCTTTTTAACTACCAAACACTGTGATAAATGTATCATCACACCAACTTTCGGAAACGGAATCAATTGTTTCAAAAAGTTCCAATTTTGTCCTTGCCCCACGTATTATCTCAAAAGAGGAAATCATTTCACATGTCGAGTTTATCCTAAAGAAACTGCCATCTCAAACAGATACTGAATTTCGATTTGAAACCTCAAAAATCCTTAAAAAATCTCTAGAATCTAATCCCGACATAGTTATCCCAAAGGCAGATAAAGAAAATGCTACGGTGGTCATGAACACAAATGAATATCAGGAAAAGCTTAAAGATATTCTTACAGACGGATCACATCGTCAACTTAAAAAAGATCCTACATCATCTATGGAATGCAACCTTATCATTAAGGCTACTTCTCTATCAGGCTCCGTGAAAAAATATGTGACCCCTCATGACTCTAAAATTCCTCGTCTCTACGAACTCCCAAAGATTCACAAATCAGGATTACCCCTTCGACCTATTGTCAGCACCATTGGTTCTCCAACATATTCTCTAGCCAAATATCTAGCTTCTTTATTAAAACCGTTTTCAGGGAACACTGATAGTTTCGTACTGGTTAGCTTCGACGACTTTACTAAAGTTCCTATTCCTGAAACTCTCACCGCCATTTCAGATATATTAAAATCGTAGAATCTGGAACCAAACCTTCTCATCTAAATTGAAAAATGCTTGTCTGGAACATGTTTTTCTTATAACGATCAAATTTTTGAACAAACGTCGGGAATAGCTATCTGTTTTCCACTATCACCAGCCATTGCGAATATATTTATTGAAGCCTTTGAGAGGAAAGCTCTCGACAGCTTCCATCCATAACCAAAATTATGAAAACTCTACGTCGATTATACTTTTGTTATTTGGCCTTATGGTCAAGAATCCCTAGTAGACATTTAAACTCTATACACCCTAACATACGTATTACTATTGAATTAGAAACTAATGACAGGCTCCAAAGATCATGAAAAAGCCTCAAGACTACGACAAATCAACTCATCTGCAGTTGACGAACAAAATCCGAAATAAAATTTTATTTGATAAAACTAAAATTCTTGCACGTAATTAATTCTTCTATAAATGTATAAGCAACCAAACCAAAATATAAGAATCAGTCATCAGTCAAATGTTATTGAAATTATCTTCCCGGTGTACCACACACAGCTAACAGAAACTTTTCCAGATGAGGTTGAGTTTGTCGACGCCCCAGAAAGTCAATATCCAATAGCTGGTAAAGACTACCTAATCAGGTGCAAAGTCAAAGGCAATCCCAAGCCGTTCGTCGACTGGTTCAAGGGCGAGGCCCTAATCAATAACAGCGAGAAATACATTCGCACCAACGATGGATTGGTGCTGAACAACGTAACGGAATTGGATGATGGTGTCTACAAATGTTCGGCAATCGTCGTCGAGACAGGGGCTTACAAAATCCGAAGCATTAAGGTAAGAGTGCACTAAAAGACTTCTCTCGATATTTCTCCCTCTCCTGAAATTAGGGCAAATCTAGAATCGATAATAATGTTAAACTCGCCGGTTGGATTCGAATCTGGGGAATACGCTTACCAATCTAAAACCGGTTATCGCTATTACCGTTGGTATATACAATTTCCAGATGTATTTGCTTACAATCTAGCAATCTACATCACTGATGATTTTTGACCTCAGTACCTTTAATTAATCTGTATCTTTCCTTCCCAAATTGTATGCTGTATGATGGTCGATGTTTAAGGAAGACGGAAAGTAGCAAAGAAAAGAAAATTCTTAATTGAACACACAAATATCCTGTATATACTAATCATTTCTGTTATTATATAAACGGTGGTTTCAGAACCAAATTGAACTGACTAGTTGGAGACATTGATGTTTGGTTCTCGCAATATACTAACTAACCTAACATTTACATTTGATTTGATTTTTAATTACATTACATTACTATTTATAATTATAGCACACATTATCAACAGTTAACAATTTTGGACAATATTTTTTTGGGCGAACTATGATATCTTAGGATAGTGTGTGTTCGCCCAGTAACGTTGTTTCCATACTTTAAAAATTATATTACAGAGCCTTTATTATTATCTTCTGGCTTATTCCAAATAAAGTATACCAAAACCGCTGAGCCTAATCTAATCAGGTAAAGTTACCTTTATTATATTATATGATTTAACTCTTAGTTCAGGAGGCAGAGCATTGAACACTTTTGATCCAGTACAGTATATATGTTTCTGACACCCTACATGGTTGGGGTTCTGTAGAGCCACATCGTACTGGGCAGCAGACCTTCTGTTAATACTGTGATTTATTTTGGTTTTATAATAGTTGGTTTTTAACGTAAATCTTATCACTGATTTGATATACAATTATTTAAAAGTAAGCACCTTGCTCTCCTCAAAAGTATGTTAGTCGGGTATCGCTTTTTTTTACATGCATTGTTTTTATAATCCATTTTTGAGCCACCCGAAGCCCCAGCACACCACACCACTAACCCATACTTCATTATAGACTATATTATTGAAAAATAGACAATTTTGAGCCACTCCAAAGATAACATATTACGTAATTCAATATTGGTTCGATTGTTCCAAGTAAACACTTCATCAATCAGTATGCCCAGATATTTTGGAAAAAGTTTTTCTTTGAGATTTGTTTTAGCAGTGATCGGATATCTTTAGATTCAAAAAATATCGAAAAAAATACGTTTTGGGTTCTCCGTAAATGTCCGACCTACCATCGACCATCGTTCATTCCGTAATTCTCGACTCTCAAAAACAAACCTTTTCCGTTAGGTCGAGGTGCAGGTACCGCCAAAAATCTCCCCGATCGAACCGATATCAGTCGTCGAAGGCGAGACCGCGTCCGCCCAATGTTCCGCTACCGGTAAACCGCCCCCGACTTACACTTGGATCAAACTCGATCGCCGAAACGACCTGTCGAAAACCGATCGGTTCGACGTAAAACGCGGTACCGGCGAACTGATCATGAACCGCGTCGAATTTGGCGACGACGGTCTCTATAAGTGCATCGCCGAAAACCCGGCGGGTCGCGTCGAAACCACCATCAAAATAAACGTCTTAGTAAAACCAAGGATCTACGAACTCCTAAACGTTACCAGTCCGGAAAGTAACGAGACGAGGATCACGTGCAAGGCCTACGGTAGGCCGCCTCCAAGAGTAACCTTCAGGAAATTAGGTCACACGGAACCATTCAGGAGCGGACCTCAACCTCACGACCCCAGAATTAACCTGGAGCAGACCGTTTTTGAGGAAAAGGGTGAAGGTTTTGGTACCCTGATGATCACCAACCTCAGTAGGTCCGACGACGGGCTCTATGAGTGCAAAGCGGAGAACCCGACGAGTTCCGCATTTAAGAACGGCCACATTACCGTCCATTTCAAGCCTACGTTCAACAGAACAAAAGATTTACCACCTGTGTGGAGTTGGGCGGGAAGACCTGGTAACCTGTCTTGCTTACCGGAGGCTATACCGAATGCGACGATCACGTGGAGGTATCGCGGAGTGGAAATCTCTGAGGAGAACTTTAATAACGGAAGAGTGAGCCGAAACAACTTTAGGGTGCAGGGTACCAGTCCCCAGTCGTTCCTCATCGTGAATACCTACGACAATAAGCTGTATTACACCCATTACGAGTGTATAGCGAGGAACGCGTTGGGTGAGGCGTCGACGAAGATCGAGTTAAAGAAGGGGGAGGTACCGAGGGCGGTCAATCAGGTTAGGAGGGTGAGTTTGACAGCGACGACTATCAAATTTAGTATAGTTCCGCCGACGGATTTCGACGGGTTGCCCGTCAAGTCTTATACAATTCAGTACAAGCCGGAGAGGCAGCCCACGTGGGATAACGCGATGGAGCACACGTGGAGCGTAGGTGAGTCACGATGAGCGCGGTTCAGGCTTCAGTCAATGCGGGCGCTGATAGGTCGCAGTCGCGTTTCTAACCATCGTGACACGAGCAAAGATCTTCACTTGTTTCATTCGTCGAGGATGTTTGTTTGTTGTTGTCGCATTTTTTACCATTATTAATAAACTCATTTTTATTTTTTATTTTCATTTTTATCGAATTGATAAAATTAAATGCAATTTTAAAAATAGTTTTCACAAACATAAATATTGCCTGCACAACTGGAAATAATTATTCTTTTCTAATAAACGCCTTCTTATCTTTACTCAAAATCACATTATAGTTTACATTTTAGCTTCCATCTCAATTATCTCTTGAACGAAAACGTTTATTTTTGCGCGATTCAAAACGTCAAATAACTAAACCAAACCTGCGACGTTGCCGCGATTTAAAGCTTAGCGAACCGGATTCTGCGCAGGTGCCCCGTACATCTTGGAAAATCTGATCCCGGAAGTGACGTATCTGTTCCGGGTGGCCGCCCGGAACGACGTCGGCTTAGGCACGTGGACTAATATGGAGTCGGTCACGATGCCCAGGAGATCCGAACCCGCCGAACCCACTATTCTGCTCTCGGCCATCAACCAAAACGTTCCCGATGGCGATGAAGTGGTCAGTCCCTTTTCCAATCACTTTGAAGTTAGGTGGAATGTACCAGCTGATAACGGAGAACCCATCCAGTATTACACGATCAGATTTTGTATCGTAAGTAAATTGAAATTTGTACATTAAATTTAATTTTTGTGTTAGTGGCAACTAATTCTTGCGGAAATTACAGATTCCTAATCGAAGTTTTCTTTGGCTAGTTAGGAATCTGTAATTTTGTAATCTCAAAATATCCACCCCAGGACGGGGAGTGCAGAAGTTGGTTTGTTACGTCGTGTATTTGTAAAAATTACTAACGGAAACCCCTCCCTTTATAATTTTTTTGAAGATAGCATACATTTTCTTGATTAACGTTGTATTGTACTCAACAGTATTAATACAATATGTCAAAATAAAATGAGCACGTAGACTCCGTAACAAAATTAAAATATCTTGTATCATTTTTCATGTTGTGTGTGTTAATTAACTTGGATTATTTATTTTAAACTGTTAAGCTTTTGTGGGCTTTCAGTTATGGTATCGGCCAGGCTTTGTCTATTTGTAACTTCCCCCTTACTGGAAATGCTTGTTTAAAAATTAATACCTGCATCGACGACAGAACATATTTGCCGTGGAGCTGTGAAAGGAAATCCAATAACGCGATAGAAAATATTTTCCATTTTCAGTCACCTGGTACGTCCGCCTTCGGCAAACATAAATGTCTTAGCACAGACCTTCAGGTTTTCGAGCGAAAATTTTATGCAAACTCCCTTGTAGCGGAAGTGTGTCTCTGTATACATTTTAGCGCATCTCGCATTCTGAATATCAAATACCTATCCTTGCATTTAGTTTGTTAAACTTGGTGCGTGTTTATCTGACCGGAGTCGTCTACCTATATGGCATAGAAAAGAATATTTTTGAAATGTTTTCATTTCGAAAATATGCACATTTTGGATTTTTTTCACAAAGCCTCTTACGCCAGGACTGATCGAAAATTTGATGATATTTTAAAAATTGCCAGATTTTGATTCTTTTGCTGCCCCCCGTTGCCGAACTGCAAAGTTGAAATTGTATCGTTTTTTTTTACATTTTGCAGTTTGATATCTCAAGTAACTATTTCTTTTTGCGCTAACCAAAGAATTCGGATTTAGTTTTATCACTTATGGAGAGATGGCAGCACAGCTAGCTTAAATTTTAGGGTATATAGGACAATTCCCACCAACCTGCCCCTAACGTAGCTAGGACCTAGTGAGCAACTAAAGGGACTAAAGGGACGGAATCGGGGATGAAACTTCAGTTTGAGGTGCCGTCCGTATTTTCGGATTTACCTTTTTAGAAACATTGCAGGAATTTTTGGTTTTGAATCTTGAACTTAAAATGTGTTTTGTTATTTGTAAAATAATTTATTTTTTATTTAAATCTATTTGATCATAAATTCAATAAAAAGTGCGACCCTTTAGTTGCGTCAGTGGTAGACCCTTTTTTTGTGTATTTTTTGCGACTTGCATTTTTAAGGTATTTATTTCGTTTGTGTTCTAATTTTCTCAATTAGAACAGGTGTATGAGCAAGATACGGCGGAGTAGATATTTTAAAGTAGTAGTAAAAAAACGATAATATTTCGGCGGCAATATTGGGAAAAACAGAAGTATGGAAAGAAAATGCTACAAAATTTATTAAAGATGTTCATAAGCCAGTAAAAAGCTAAGAAGATTGCAAAGTAATTGCAATATCCTTGTTCTAAGATTTTTTATGTTTTTTTTTCTCTTTATTCCTTTTTGTACCCAAATGACCATTAATTATTGAGTACTATTGACATTAATTACTGACACCTTCACTAACAATGGCCATATAGAGTGCTTTAGGTGTCTAGCACCTTACATTAGGTGACCCTTAAAATGTTGGTGGAAACGGCCGATAGAGACAGGCTGTCCCAATGATTACGTCGGCAGAGTGACGGTCAACAATATGACGTCATTGTTTCAGACTGATCGGACGAACGGCGGTTGGATAGACCGCGATTGTAGCGAACCACTTCACCAATCAATCCAGTACACCAACTATCAACTAGATCAGCTCTTCCCCGACACAGTCTACAAAATAGAGCTGCGCGCTCACAACGCGATCGGCGACAGCTCTCCCGCGCAAATTCGTGTGCGCACTGCCAGAGGTGAGCCCCCCCATCACTATTACACTTACAGCACTTACGCTGCCGTAGGAAGTGGAAGTCGCGCGACTTTTTTCGTTTCGACTTTGTTTTTTTTGTGCGTGTGCCAGTGCTTCGTTTTCCGTTTTTATTACTCACCGTTAGTTTAGTTAGTTTTTTTCTTCTTATTATTTTTTTTTTTTGTTAGCTTGGCCGATTTTTGTTTAGTTACCTTTTTGTTTCGGTTTGGCCGTGTTCGGAGGAGAGGGTGTGCGCGTAAGGTCCGTTTTCGAAATATTCGTCGGATTTTGGGTTAGGTTCAGTTTCAGTATTCAGGAAAGATGACGACTACGTTAGCAACGACATCAAGCGTATTCTTATGGCATTCTCTGATGTCATCATTGTGATGTAGTCGTCATCTTTCCTGATATTTATTATACAAAAAACCTAATGGCCGATGGAGCTTCACATATTCCAGCGACTTTTTTTCCATAAACGTTAGGTTAGGTTGTTGACATACTGTAAAGTCAAAAATCGCAAAACAACTTGGTCATTTCAAAAACCACATCTGTTGCACGTTATTAACCAGAAAATTAGCCCCGTTGCCAAGTTGCGACGGAAATCTAAAAATATCTTCTTTTTTACCAATAATGCATTATTGAAATTATGTCATAAGATCGATAATACACAATAATTGATTGTAAAAATATAAGATCTTGGGGTCACACAAGACAGCGAGAACATTCTATAATTAATGTAGGCTAAATGTTCAATTTTTTGACAATATGTAGTCAATGGTTACACTTCCGCTTTGAGTGGAAACGGCGGTAACTTTCGAGTTTTAAAGGGCACAACCTATTTTTTGCATTTTTGGATTCAAAAGATCATTCTACGTATCATAGTATAGGATGCTTTTGCTCTTTTTTTTTAATTTTTGAAAATTGTGCCTAGGAGGCTGTGACCATCACAAACACTATTTTTCGAGTCACCTGATCATGGGAAAAACGGTAAACGAAACTTTTCTTTATTTGTCTAATGGCAAATAGCCTTTAATATAATCAACTATTATTTTTTTAGGACGACTTAGTTTTTTCAAATAAAACCCTAGTTTGAACAAAAACTTTTTGAAACCGGTACTTCATTTGCAACATTTTGATACCAAAATTTTCAAAATCCGTTTAAATATAAGCTCACAGGGAGGAAAAAACAGATAAGTAAGTACATTTTTATAAAAACAAAATATTACTTAGGTGCCTGTGTTTCTATTCATTATTAATTGCCAAGATAGCTGCATAAAATGCACGGGCCTGTCGAGAGTTTTTTCTGCATTCCCCGTATATCGAAAACATATCAACTTTTTCTCCATTTATAAATTGATTATTGTTTTCCAAAATCGATAATCAAATAAAATTGTATAAACCGTCAGAATTTTCAACCATGCCGACTTGATGATGAATAGAAACACAGGCACCTAAGTAATATTTGGTTTTTATAAAAATATATTTACTTATCTGGTTTTTTCCTTTCTGTGAGCCTACTTTTTACCGGATTTTGAAAATTTTGGTGTCAAAATGTTGCAAAGGAAGTACCGGTTTTAAAAAGTTTCTGTTCCCTCTCGGGTCCTATTTTAAAAAACTACGTTAACCTAAAAAAATAATAGTTCATTACGTTAAATGCTATTTGCCATTATACAAGTAAAGAAAATTTTCATTTGCAATTTTGATCGGGTGACCCATTAAATATATGATGGTCACAGCCTCCTAGATACGATTTTCAAAAATTAAATAAAAATTTACATAAACAAAAAAAAAATGAAAAAAAGCATCCTATCCTACTCGAAAAATTCAAAAAATTATAGTTTGTGTCAAAAAATTGAACATTCAGCCTATATTAACCCTTCCCAATTTCTAATCGCTATCTCAAGCCGTTTAAAACTTATAGAGTGTTCCCACTTTGTCACCCGGTATGTTAAGGGCAGTAAGGTGAACAAATTAAATGCTGTTTTTATGTATTTACAAACTATTTTTAATAATGAATTAATAAATAATAAAAATTAAAATAATTTTTTAACGAAAGTAAGGTCGACACTTTTTTGCAGTAGATTTTGGGGCTTACTTGTTTTTAGCTGCTGTATATAATAGCAGCTGCGGGCAGCAAGGGTTCCAGGTAAAAATATCGGATTAACAAAGATTAAATCGTTACTAATCGGCTTAAAAAGACTTAAATATGTACGTGGAAAAATACTCACTAACGAACAAAATAGAAAAAAATTAATCAAAAACGAATTATTTCAGACGTCAGATAACCAACATGATAGAATAATAGTGTATTATGCAACACTGTCCTTTGAATCACGAGTTTCGTTTTGACACGAGCGGAACGCAGCGTTTAACCAAACATGTTGCATACTACGTATACTTTTTTTAGTTTAGTATTAGTTTTTGGGTACATTTTTTGCAAAACAAGATGAATACATTCATTAAGTCATGCAATTTCTCCGAAAACATCTGATTGCTGCAAAACCGCTGGGTAATATCACGGAAATGTCCGAGAAAGTGACTCGCGCCGTAGGTAAGAGCAAGAAACTTTTTTTCTTGTCCTACTACCACAAAAATGTACCCAAAAAGTAATGCTCCAGTAACCTCTCGCTCCGCTCTTGCCAAAACAAAACTCGTGACTCGAATGCTGTTGTGCATAATATACTATTTAAATGATATTCGTGATTACGTGACCTATCCAATATTATCTCTCGGTCTAATGTACACAGTTACCAAAATGACCTGATCCGAACAATAAACGATTATGTTTAATATCAATTGGTAAATTTGGACCTGCAACAGATTTAGTTTTGAAGAATTTTCGCGAGTTACCGTCGATCCTTAACATTTTCGCGATAAAACTATATAAAAGTATATTAAATTAATTGCTAATAATCAAGGAGGACATTTTACAATTCTCGCACTACTAATAACGTGTGGTGTTATTGCTAAAATCAATTGCCGAAAATCATTCTGAGACTGCAACGGTTAATCGGTACATTTTGCAGTAACGATAACTCACGAAAAAAATCCGTTCGGTCAATTTTTTTCAAGTAAAAGAAAATATAATTCAAATTTGCAAAAATGATGCATATCTTCAAAAGGCAGATGGCGCATATAGAAAATACTATGGGCGCCAAAAATTTTGTTTAGACTCTATTGAAGAATGACGAAATAATTCTGAACAAATAGTTTATAATCCACATAAGAAAATAATAAAACCATTTCATCTGTATGGGTATTATTGACTAGAAAGCTACCTTTGCCCATAAAATATTGACGAATATTTGCGAAACAGACTTTACTAAAAACGTTTCGACTCTCCTCACCCCCGAAGTGGGAGGTGGGGATGCGGGGACACGTTTTGGTGAACGCGCGTGTGCGAGCTTTTCTCAAAAACGATAACGTTCTGCCCCGTAGAAGGTAACATCTGGAACTCGTCGCCGTCGAGGCCGTCGTGTAAAATGTGGCTTCTGTACGCTGCGCAGGCGATGGTGGCGTCGCGCGCAGCACTGCGACATTAAAGTTGTCTCCCCTCCATCAACTTTATAGGACTGTTATTAAATGTACTATCGAAATATTTTCTAAAGACGGGGTTAAAATGTGATGTAGTTGGTCCCCCCCTCCCGACCCGATGGTGCGCGTGGACGTGGGGGAAGGGGGGCGAGTGCGAGAACGAGTAAATTAGTGTAGATAATAGTCGTTGCTTTCAAAAAGATTGGGGCCCACAGAGTTTTGAACAAGATTTTATTGATCGTAAACAGTTTCGAAAAATTGGACCGTCTTAAACAAAATCAAAAGAATGCAATTTTTCTCCTAAATGATTTTTACATTACTCTTATTCCTCGACGTGGAAAAATAAAATATTTTTAATAAATCATCCGAAAGATAAATCTTAGATGCATTAATTAATACTTCTTTTTGTTTTCTTACTCAAAAGGAGGAACGAATCAATCATTAATATAAATAAAAAATCGAAAACCTCTTGTGCAAGAGACTTGCAAACAACTTTCTCTTTGGCAAATAAATTAGTATTTTGTTCAGAGGTAAACCGAGAAAATATAGAAATAAGGTATAAATAAAAATACCAAACAAAAACAAATCTAACAATACTCAAGGAGGTAAAAGAAATTGTTCATTTTTTTACACAAAATTGTGTTTTAGATTTTGTTTTAATAAATTTAAAAATAAATAAATATTTTTTGTTCTCGTTATTGTTATACATGAGAAATAAAAAAATAGCATCGATAAAGAGGAAAAAATAAAAAAACAAAACGTTTTAATGCGCCACAACTTTAGGCACATATGACTGGTGTAAAAAATGGTGCATTGCGGCCAATCTATTTTCTACTATTTTAATGGCGATTAGCGCGAGGTTTATAAAAAAACAGGACGCCGCTGCCGGCTATCGATGATTGATCGCTCTGAATCGAAACATGGCAGCAATAAAATCGAGTTTTTCCTCTGCCGATTATTGAAAATGAATTTTTGTTCGAGTTAATTTGCATGACAAACCCCCCGCCCCCTCCCGAAAATTCCTGGATTTTTGCTTTTTGTTTCTGAAAAACCCGGAAAATCCGGCTAACCGCGTTGGGAAAAAAATAAAATACGCAATAATTTGACGTCTATTGCACCCCCCACACCCCGTCCCGCGTGCCGTATGGTAGATGAGCCTCCGTTTTTTAAAATTTTATGTTCGCAGCTTCCGCGCGTGTGAAGTGTCTGAATGTGTGTGTGTGTGTGTGTGTGTGTGTGTGTGTGTGTGTGTGTGTGTGTGTGTGATGACCCTCGAAGGCGCCATACGAATCGAATTTTTTATATCGGTAAATACCGCTGCCAAATCGTAAATAAGTATACAGCGCGATCCGCCGCGAACTTGGTCTATTATCTGAAAAATTCTAACCATCAAACATTTTTAAAATAAGAAATCAACGAAAATCGAAGGAGATAGTTCAACAAAAATATTTTTGAAGCGAATGTAATTCCTTTCATACCGGACGTAGGCGTCAACTTGCTTATTTTAAATGCAACTCCCTACATGTTACTGCTTTTTTCGATTCTTCTAAAAATTATGGACGGGTGACAGGTTATACCATGTAGTACTATACTACGTAGGCCCTGCCTATGCGGATAAAACAGGAACGTATAAAGCAACTATGAAAAAGATTTTGAGAAGCTCCATTTAACATGCGCATGCGCGAGATTTAAAATCTCGCTTTGTAGCATTCAACAAGCAAAATGACCACTGAGAGATCATCAATAAGTTTCGATACAGCAATTTTACTGCAGTTCTGCAAAACCAGTTAAGTGCGAGACAACAATTTTTATCGGTTTATGGGTTACACCAAAAGTGGGCGCCAACTTGGATATTTTGAATGCATAGTCCTAATATGACGCTTTCATTAGAGCTCGTTTCTACTCATACAAATTTGTTGATGATCTATGATCGGCCGTGTTGGTGGGTGACCTTTTTTTTCATAGTTATTTCATTATCGACATAGGCAGGGCCTCTATGATCTAGTAGCTATATGGTTATAGCCCACGAAAATTTCTAATTTTTGTTGATTATAGTTTTCCCCCAAAAAAATCGACCAAATTCCCATTGGACCGCCTTGTTAGTAGATAGATTACGTATAAATGTTTATCGGTAATTAAGAGGCACAAAAATGTTGTTCTCGTACGTTTTAATGTTACCCCCACCACAGCGTTATTGGAATCCACGACAAATGCGACAAACTTAACGAGTTTACCCCCACCTCCCCCCAAAAAAAAAACTCACTTCGGGGGATTGGGAAATGTTTATAATGTGGTATTTAATTTATCGATTTTTTAACTAATAATAATATTTTATTTATTAATATACTAAATGCATCAATATAATACGAGACTTCACGAGCTGTATTAGGGTTGCTTTTAGTTTTGGAGAACAACATGGCAGTAATATATCGCTGCTATTATATACATATTATCGCCGCAATTCTACGAATTTATGGATAAATTTTTGTTTGATTTTATTAAAGTTTGTCACCGGTTTGTGCGTGTGTGTCGCTGTAGTTTCATTGCCGACAAATTTACATTCGCATTTCAGTGATGTTTTGTGGCCAGTTCAGCTATTGCTTTGTGGGACTTACCGTGCCGCTTGACTAGCTAAAATACGTCGACTTTGCTGCACCTATGATTTAGTGTGGTAAACAACTATTCGCAAATGAAACTTCAAATTGCTAAACTAAGAAATTGAAAATTGTGCAAAACTTGGTTTAGTTTAAATGTCATTTACCTAAGTTAACTTGGATTTTTGAGTTTCATATGACTTGAAGTGCTGACTTGGAACTTGACATCTTTGATTTAATTGTATTTAACGAAATTCGAAGTTCGAAGCTGAATAGATAAAAATATAAATTAAACTTCCACGTTGTGCATGGCTTGATATTATTGATCACTGATCTGAACTTCGTTTGATTTAGCAATTCCAATTTGGCCCATTGACACTTGCATGCTGGCTTCAGTAGACTAGTTGGATGAGTGGCTCGAGAAGTCTCTACTTGAAAAAATAATGATGGCATATCCAGATATTTTTTGTTATTTTTATCGCAGTGAATTCAAATTGTCGAGCATATTAGGTTTGTTTTTTTTGGTAATTTACTCTACGATTTTTATTAATTTGGAATCATTTTCAATTGCGCGACGCAAAAACACCTCAACGCACCGTGGATTCCAGTGGCGCATACAAGTTTTACCATTTGTTAACCGACTTATATTGTTTATAATAGCATGTGTGTTGTACCAGGCAAACACCGCGGAGTAGTTAGACTAACCTATTGACGATAACTTAGACATGAACTTTTTTTAAATTATACGGGGTATTGCGAAAATGCACGTGGAATTTAGAACGTCTAAATGATATTTTATAAGACCTTTAGGTACGTGAACCGTGGCGTACTGGTCAGAACTCATGTGGTATTGTGGTATTGCCTTATGAAAATAACACGCAAGAAAGAAACACTTTGGGCAAGTGACGTCACTGCACTCCGGTTTACCGTCCTTGAATAACGCTGTTACTTACAAGTTGTGTTGCTACTCACGGTAGATTTATCCTTATGGTCACCTATACCCCATTGTATGAAAACTTTTGTTTAACTATTACTGACACGCGTATTTTTTCGCGTACACCCCGTATCAGGCTAACCTCAAAATTGCCGCGAACTTTTTACTTACCGTTGCCTGTTTGCCCGGTATATACGGCCCTCTGTCGGTGAAACACGACATAAACACAATGTAGAAGTTTATGAAACGTTTGTAATGAAGAGTGTCACAGAAATGTCAAAGAAAAGACTGTTTTTTTTACGTGGTCACTGTAAACTTCTCGGTGGACAATAAAACCTTTTTACGGCGACGTTGCTACGTCGTAAACCGATGTCAATTTCGTACCAAAAAAAATATCTCGCACGACGATGTCTGTGAGACAATAAATGGACGAAAAATAAAATGTTTTGACGTTGTGGCTTTATTTTTACCTCACTCGAGCTTTTGTGCTATTGTGAAGTGGCGCCATTTTGATCCGCGCGTCGGTTCAATTGGGGGACCGTCGAAATATGTACGTAGCTTGTTCCGACACGACCCGCGCGTGCGCGTTTCAAACGAACTGCCGCGCGGCACGTAACACAAAACAATACTACAGAATAAAGAGAATCAATGCCAAAGGCTCGAATTTCGGTGATTTCTCAACGAGTTACCCCGCCATTTTGATAATGCAGCACGGCATTAAGCACGTTTCGAGTAACTCATGGGCGTGTTTAAAAAGATGCTGACAGTTATCCATAGGCCGTTCACCCACGCACAGAACTGATTGACCGCCATTCGTTTGAAATGTCGTACTAGCGTGTCGTGCGTAGTGACGTAGAGTAGATGTTATTAACGGTAGTCTGTCGCTTGCTGGGTATTTTTCGTTGCTTAGCACCGTTTCCGAAACCAACTAACACGCTAACAAACTAACCAATTAATGATACACTCCGATGTAGACGTCGAGAGAACATCCGACCCTTCCTATATATTTAACGTATCTCGTCGCCACCAACAACATTAAACTGCCCTCACGAAACAACACGCTACATCTGTAACCCAGAAGACGTTTAACCATCAGGAGAGATCCGATAGAAGCTCGGCAACGGCGTATGGCGCTTAAACACTATATCAATAACATTTCTTTAACTATTTAGTTATTCGTTAACAGAACCACAATGAACGTTTGCAATTTCAAGTCTCTTCCGTGGTTAAAAGTCTGTGGTCTAACCCTTTCTCTGTTCTGTGATGTATAGACGTTAATTGTGAGAAGGAATACAAAACTGTCCGAGGACACGAGTTTTTGGACATTTCTGACGATGCGACATAGATAAGGGAATTTTCGTAGCAACCATTTTCAATCGTTTTCAATGTCGCATCAATATAATATATAAAATATAGTGCCTTGGAAAAGTTGCGGTCTTGATACCGCTTAGATTAACGAATTTGTACTAATTGGCCCCTCGCATGGAAATTATAAAAATAGATAAATTATATGCAATTAAAACCGCGTTTTGCGTCGCCGATCGCGGTAACCTCTATACATCACAAATTAGCGCAAACCTGTGCGACAGAGTTGCCGATTCGTCTTCGATCGCTTTGACCGAGAATAGCCGCTATAGAGAAACTCCAGTGTGTCGGTGAACTTTGACCGACTCCGCAATCCGCTACAATGATAAGGAAATATTGGGTGCAAAGACTCTTTAATTGTGTTTACGTATGTTATTACACGATGGTCCTTTTTAATCAACTGTCCACAATATTTCATTTATTATTTTTTTCAATTAATATCTTTTGCGCGCATGCGCGAAAAAAAAGATATCGATTCAGTTGCTTTGTGACTTTTTCCTCTCGGCTATTCTCGGCGCGACGTAAAATAGCTCGTATCGGCAACACCGCGCAGTCCCGCATTTTTTAAAAACTGTTTTCCTCCACTAATGACGTCGCTACTAACTTTAGTCTACGGGAAAAGCACGGCAACGACTCACACGCGCACTTTTTTCGTTTGAAGGGACCAACCCGCAGGTGCAGATTAAGAAACCGGCGATGAGCAGCTCGATGATAATCGGCATCGTTATCGGCGCGATCTTAATAGTCCTCATCGTGGTCGACGTTACCTGTTTCTTGGTGAACAGGACCGGACTTATTGCGCTGTGCTGCGAACAGCGCAAGAAGAAGAAGAAGAAGGACGAGGAAGATCCTAAATACGGAAGGTAACATTTTTTATGTTTTAGCAGTTGGTTGAGGCAATGGGGTCATGAACGAGCGAGCGGTAGAAATGGGGTGGGCACAAATCGCGAGCCTCAAAAAGCAAGGTTAATGACACTTACTCAAACTTTGAAACATTAAATTTTTATTTTATATTATTATTATTATATTACTTATTTTTTCGACTTGACTTTAAGAACCTACAATACTATTTTATGCTCGAAGATCTTTAGTAACCTTCAGAATTGAGAAACGTCAAAATATTATCCATATCTACAATCTACCGAAATTGTGCGTTCGTCTCAAACCCAGGACCCAAGTACCGAAAATATATAGCTACTAGAGAAATAGACGCCCCGTCTAGGCCGACAGTACAAGAACTCATGAATTTTTTTTAAACGTCCATTCAACGTGCGCACGCGCGAGATCTAAAATTTCGCTTTTAACCAATGGCAGCCATATGGAAAATTCTGACGTTGGAACCATAAGACCTTGCGGCTTTCAACAAACGTTGTTTGGATGCGGCATTTTTACGGCAGTATTTTCTTAAAATATGTCGAAATCCTATTAAATTTTCAGGCAAAAAAAGAGTTAAGTTGTGGAAAAGCAGTGCAGAGTTGCAGCACTCTCGTCGACGTCAGTATAATTTTAATTAATTTGGTGTTTTTCTTCTTTAAGCCCTGTAGATACGATGAAATTTCTACCTATATTTTTTCATGTAAGCTATTTTTTGCGTTTTTTTTTTTTGCTTATAAATCGACGCAAAGCGTTAGTTTTCATAAACTCATTCTGTTTAGTAATTTCTAGTCTATTTTCCAGTTTGTTAAATGTAAAATATATAGGAATCACTGTTTCTGTAAGATCCTATTAGGTTCTCATATTCTCAAAGTATTGAAAGCACAAATTATACAAGTTTACGAGTAAGGTACGGAGATATCGACACCAAAAATGAAAACATAGGAACAGGGACTGACTGTTCTGTGACAACTGTAATTACTTATTTCGGCGTTGCCAATTATTTTCGGATTTCAGAGATTGATGTTGCGTTCTTATAAAAATTAATCAATTTTTAATTTTCCATGCGCAAGAGATCCACACCTTCTCTACGAAAATATCATAGCCACCTTCGGCGCATCAATTTTTACCGTAGTAGGGTCACTATATTAATTTATAGCTATATGGCCGGGAATGACCAAAGTGGCTCGCGACCGTGGATAAAGAAGCTGACGTCCTAAAATGACACCTTCTGCGCACTTCATCCATCTATAATTGGGGATTTTAGAGTAGGGAGTCGAAAAAACATATTTATTATTCCTTTTTTATATGGTATAAATAAATGTGAACCCCACCCTGATGCAAAATCGATATTTTGTTCTGTCCAAATCGAATAGAAAAGGGCTGGTCCATAACGTTATCCTCCCCAACACGATACTTTAGCTGCAACCGGGCATCTCACTGTCAGAGTGACAATCACGATACCTATCAAACAACCAACGTTGCCAAATGCTTGGACATGTTCGTCAAATATTTCGGTCCAATCAGATTTTTAGTAAGTTTAAATCTGTCTAACAAATAAAATTATGTAATCTATGGTTACGTTATTTAAAAATGTAAAATGTTTTTTTTTTGTTTTTAGTTAAAAACAAGTTAAAATTACTGTTAGGTATCGGTGAAGTACAGTTTCCTTTTATTATCTTTCGAAGCGATGCTTACCGCACCATCTGCATTCTAAATGATAAAAAATTAATCAGGAACCTTTTTTCGTGTTATCAGACAAAAAAATAAGATTGCTTTATCGTTATTTTTTTTCATATTTGGGGGTGAAGTAATGGCGGTGAAGTTTTGTTAACAATAATTGTCTTATCATTTTTACAGAAATCCTCTACAGTGTTAGTAAACAAAATAATAAGAAATTTTAGTCTTTTTTTTTCAGTTTTTCATATTTGGATATTTAAAGTAATCTTGCCGTAATCTTTAACCTGCATTACTATATCGCTTTGGATTTAAATCACCTGCTTCACAATATATATACATATATATATATATATATATATATATATATATATATATATAGAGAGAGAGAGAGAGAGAGAGAGAGAGAGAGGTAGAATAATAAATAATAAAATAATTGAAAATTATGTTTATCATTTATGTTTTATAATGCTTGATTTATATTGAAGCATACTTTTCGCATACTTGAATTCGACTGTCTTAATGTTACTTAAATGTTACCTGTTCCCTGATTATTGGATTTAATTTTTGAAAAAATGAATTAATGTAACATTACCTGTTTTCATGAACCAATCTGTATAGATATAGATGAACCATAAAAAAATAAATATTGAATTCCAAACGAGCACTTCAGGTAACGTAAATACAAAAATGTAGGCGAAATTATTAAATATGTCTTCATTTTTCAGTTTCTTTTACCCTTCCAATCTCCGTTTTATTTAAGGACATGTTTTATTTTTCTTGTATCTTTTTTAAATCGAAATTGCAACGCCAAAATCAGAACATCCGGCATCCAATTTTCGTTTTTCTCGCGCAGCCTCGCTGGCCGGATATAAAAATGTGTTTTATTCACTTCCCGTTTAGGAAATTAACCCGGTTTAACGTCAAACACACTTTGCGCCTGCCGACCACATACATTTTTTATTATTTTTTTATTTAGCCATCGTGTACGCTTTATAAATTCATAAGGACATGTGTGTTTTCTCTAGTTGAATATGTTTGTCATTTTAAGTTTTATTTTCGAAATTTCTTTTTTACCGTAGCAGCGCGCTGCTTGTATTAAATCCAATTTTAGTTTTTGCACGGACTCTATGTTACAATTTGTAACTAATCTTCTACGGGATAGAAAGTTTTTTCTAATAAAAAGGTTTTTAACATTACTTTGAAATCTTTAGAGATTAACTCGTCTTTATGTTATTTGGCAAGTTATTAAAAAGTAAGTTCCGTACATTTTGAGAAGAATGCGAAGCCAACAGATTTCATGCAGATAAAAAGACGGACAGTTAGAATATTATTGTTTTTTAAATAATCTATAATAATATATAACTAGTTTCCCGGCAAGAGGACATATATACTTTTTTGAGCAATAAAAACATCTGAAGCGTAAGTTGACCAAACCCCAGACACAGACACCATATTCGCAGCCTTGCGGCAATATTGGCAAAGTTAACCTGAATCAGCTGTTTTAATTGTCTGAAAGCATAACATTAGGAGTGTACTTTTCATATTTAAGTATTCACACTGTGTTTTTTAGTTAAGATTTTTATCAATATAGACGCCAAGAAATTTTATATTTTCGTTGCCCAATTCCATTTTTAATTTATTTACGCTCTTTTGTTTACGGTGACATTGCATGACGTCGTTTTAAATAGAGTTAGATATAGAGAGTGATCACGCAACCAACAATTAAGTTTTTTCATCAACTTGATGCAATCGCTTTCCAAAACTGTATCAGAGTATTAGGATGTATAGTGTACGAGTCTCACGCCATATTGTTTTCGTGGGTTTCAATTTTGATTTTAAAGAATTAGGTAAAGAGTGATTTTTTTTACATACATTTTGGCCCACCTTATTTTCTTCTTCGGTTAGCATCGAAGTGACGTTTTTTTTTTTCGACACAATTACACCGCATTACAACGACATATTTCCGTGGCAATTTTAGTTTATACAGTTGGCGATTTCCGCTGCCTTATTGCAGTTACAAAGCAGCTCCGGCACACCCTAACAGCCTAAATCTACCACAACCGATAAAACTGGCAGCCACTCCCACGTAAGCATCACGGAGAGTACAGCATGCCGAAAACCATAGCCGCGCATGTGTTGATAAATGAAGTTGCCCCAGTGTGCAAAAGTCCCCGGTTTTTTAGGTTCGGGGATATTCTTGAAATTGCCTCCCAACAACCAAATATTTCCGTATCATATATGTATATATATATATATATATATATATATATATATATATATATATATATATATATATATATATATATATATATATATATATATATATATATATATATATATATATACGCTGCACGAATCGCACGTCTTGTTTGTTGACTTCCTCGTTCTTCGTTCTTCTTCCTCTTCCTTCCTTCTCCTCCACCTCGTCTTGCTCTGATTTATTAAATTTGATATGATTGGCTTTCATTTGCTTGCTAATGCGCTATTTTAAGACGTTGGCAGACGTACGTCACTCGCAGTAAAAGTTTCGTTTTGCAGGGAGGAGCAAGAACCTTTGAAGCAGGAACTAGAGAAACCGGTCAGTTTGGAATTCGACGGTCGACACGTCTACTCGAAGACCGGCGAGATGATAGGCAAACATTCGGCGGTTTAGTATTCACACCGATTTATTAGAAGTGTAGAGTTATCGCCGATATTGAATCAAAACTCTTATTTATTTTGCTCATTTTATGTACTTAATTTTGAGGAAGTCAAAAAACAAAATATGCATTCCATATCGCGATAACGCTTGTGTGCCAAAACTGTTATATATTTCTGGGTGTGTTACGAAATCTGGTATACGCCTGCTGTATGACTAACCGTACTTAAAAATGTCTTCTATCGCCGCGATAGCTTCAGATATTATTGTCCGCGAGACGAGAGTATTTTTTCAAAAAAGAAAACTCTATATGTGGCTTATAAGTGTTGTTGCGGGAGCCCTTTTAGGCGGTTTTCCTGTCTGCCAAGGGGCTGATCGTTACTTTTAGTTAGTCACCCTGTTCTGAGGCTGACAGGGGTGTTCCAATGGACATTTAGCCACGGTAGGCGTCAGTAGCTGTTTACAGCAAGCAAACGAGGACTCGCCTTCTTGTAGGTTATAGGTTACTAATCAAACTAAACTATGGCTTTTTAAATTACGCTTTGGTTTCATCCTGAACTTGAAACCTGGCTGGGTGTTTAAAAGAAAAAATACGATGTAGATTAACACTTGAAAGAGAGTTCCATTTATTTTTACAAAAGACTTCTAAAAATGTGCACGGTCATTCAGGTATCTCTTTCTACCTCCTTAACTGTGCCTTCCTAGTTAAACCGATAATTCTCTTGAGCGGCGTTGCCAAAACATTTTATCGCGGTCATGCAGTTTTAACATATTTGAAGGGGAGTCAAGCTGCCATTTTCCGATTGTCGCGCTTGCTGTATTCATTGGGTCTTCCCCGTGGCTTCATGTCTTATGTGCCGTCTATATGTGCAAATCCTTTTTATAGTTTCTATTTCGCGTTTTTTTGTATATATTTTTATCCTTTAAGTGGTCTTAAAATACGCCAAAGTTTCACTTAGTTTCCGTTAGATGTTTAGTTATTTATTGTAATAGGACGTACAGAAAACGTAGCTTTTGATATTCTAGCTAAATAAACAGTATTTAATTTGAGGTATGATTTTTTTACAATGCATTTAAGTACTGACTTTAATGTAATTACATGACCCATTGAACTGGACAGACACCTATGGTTGAGCCACATGGCAATGATCCGTAACCAGACTCCATACTAAGCTTGCTAACTCCACGTCATGGCCTCGCCTGTCGGTAATAGCAAATAAAACGACCGCATTTTAGAAAATAGGATGTATAATATAAAATAAAATTGAAAGCGGCACAGATCATCGTTTCGTAACGTAAACCGAATCTCCAACTTTAAGATGCCCCGTGAGTATCACCTCACACCAAATTCCCATTTTAGGGTTGCCCTTCTCGGGACCGGCCAAACCCATTCGATACCTACGAATGTAAAAAAGCGCGTTTATAAGAAAATTAATAGCGTCTCACGTGTTAAGTGTTTTGATTGGTTCCCCGAGGACGTATTTTTTTTGCTGTCTGTGGATCGAGACCAGGTACTGCGCATCTGAGACAGTCTTTGACCTTCCTCAGCTTTACCGCCCGTCCTATGCTGATACAATCCCAGCGATCTTCGTCGAACGCTTTCAACCCTGGCCCGTCTATCAAAAGATTGTGCCTGAAATTAGCCGCGGTCACTTTGACCACGCCAGCAAGATTATCGTTGCAGTCGTCGATCGACATTTGGTTCGTAACGCTGACGCTGACTAATTTCGCATACAATCCCTGTGGAGAGAAAAATTTGACCTTGCATTCATCACTTTATTAGAGCAACAACTATTTTATAGCTCCTATAAAGATAACGGCAGTCTATTCGACGACAATCTGCGCATATGAGATATGATGTTATGAGATCATACGTTAAGGAAAAAGAATCTATTTTATCCTTGCATACGTGGCCAAGAAAAGTAGAGAGGAAGAAAATCGGGTATCATCAATTGCGCATTTCATACAAATTCTCAAAACGACCACATGAAACCCATCCTCATCCTCATCTACCTTACCTATGTAAATTGAAAAATTACAACTTTTACCGCGGCTTTGCTGCTTAACAACGTATCGTGCTGTATCAAATCCGACCAGTTGAGTTCCAAGTTCCTTGCCAAACTACCGTCGTTATATCCCAGACGCAATCCGCACTCTTCTTGGAGCAGAAACCGCGAAAGCCATCGAGCCACGTCGTCGCCGCAATCGGTAGTCTCCACACATTCACCAGCGAGCATCCTGAATGAAAAAAATGGAGAAAATCTCTCTCCACGACTTGTTAAATGTGGCTCACCTAACGGTAGCATTCGGGACTGAAGCGTTGGGTAACTCGAGGAGGAACCTCTTCGTGTCAGGTGCGTCGAGTGCAACTGTTCTTGGGCAGTACGGAGTGACTTTAATAAGAAGAGTTCTCGGCAACTGCCTTGCCGATCTGAATTCGTTGTTATGTTCGGCGTAAATAACGAAACACCTACGGAATTTCGGTTTAACGAAGAAACGAAGTACAAACGGGATGTCCATACCTGTCTCGGAGCAGTGGTGTGTCGGATTCGTCGCCGGTTTGAACAAGGCCCACGCTCGCACAAAACGCAGAGTCCACGGTCAACTTTGCACCCCCCTTTAGCGGGTAAAGATCGATCGATTTCAGATAGCCGATTTTTTCCCATTTTGATTGATTCCTGCGTTTAAGTGATGCGTAGCAGAGAAACGCGAACAGTGTGATTGCGAGGGCGTACTCCACGTACCACAGCATGCTTTGAAATAAAGGGAACGCTCGCTAAAATATTAGGGTTCTCACGTGCGATAACACGCGCTGTGTTTGCAGTCGATAACGATTAAAAGTGCCGCGAAGGCCCAATAACGACCGATAAATTTTCGAGATAATTGTTTTTATGTTTGGATGAACAAAGGATGATAAACGAGTGGCGAAACGAACCTACGACGTTACTGTAAATTCCTTGTCGTTCCCTACCGGGTCGTGGGGAGTTTCTTTCGTCTTCAAAAATCTATAAAACAAGGCAAACCACAAGTTCGATTTGAATAGATTTAAAAAAGGAGACGGTCAAATGCGTTTAACCGTTACGTACGCAAATACCACAGAATATAGTGCACTCTTTCGATTGAGCAATCATACAACGGCTAATTTACAAAAAAGCTGATTGGTTTTAGGAAGTCGTATATTTAACCCCTTAAATTAATAATATAATTAATTAAAATTAATACATTTATTGCTACATGAAAAAAAAAAACGTTAACATATTTATAAAATAACGGCATTTGTTCGTAACATTGCGTAATCACTACTGAATGCTAGTTCCATACGTCTATTGCTTTTCCGTTTCCGCTACGTACACCGGGTCGCCCAACTTGATAATCCCAGGTTTCCTAACCTCACAATTCACGCCCATAACCGGCAACTTATTTGGACCGTTGCTCATGCGAAATCTGCAAAAATTCCCACTGTAAATTTGACCTCGTTCCAGTTGGATCCTTACGTTTCCAAAGTTTTCAGAGGCTCCCTGTCCAAGCTCCTGGCTGCATTCTCAGGATTAATGGTAGTCATTACGCACCTGGTGCATTCTTTCACGTTCCTGAATACGACGTTGCCAACCTTGATCCACTCCCAATTGTCTTCCGCGTAAGGCTCAATATCAGGCCCGTCTACTACGACGTTTGGCCTGAAATTGTCAACTGTCACGCTAGAGTTGCCTATACGTTTATTTAGATCGCGAACTGATGACTGGTTGACGAAAAGCACACTCGCCAAATCGGAATATAAACCCTAAAACGAAACGACATTACATAATAACGGTGCATTAAGCGTTTTCACCTACGGTTGAAGAATTGGACAAATTCGTATAGTAATCCATTATTCGCTTGTGCGTCCTTGTTATATCGCGTCTAACGCTCGCGTCATGGTAACCCAGACGCAACCCGGACTCTTTTTCTAGGATATATCGGGATATCCAAGAGGCCGCTTCGTCACCGCAGTCGATCGTGTAAATCTCCTCGCCGTGGTGTAACCTGCGGCGAAACGTGTTTCGTGATAAAAAAACGGCATGAAAAAATGTCCTGACAAATATGCCCGAAGAAAGAAAAGGAAGAGGAAGTCGCCCTAACCTGACTATCGGATATTGGAGGGAACCATTGTAAGTGGCGGACGTTTGTTCCAGCCCGGTTCCAAAAAAGTTGACAAATTGTATTGTTTGACAAAAAGTTTGTTCAATACATCTTTTATTTGCATTGTTAGTGCCTATGGTTTTGTGAATATAGACCTTATGTAGTCGTGCCAATTAAAAGTAATTAACAAACAAACCTGACTATCGACTCCTTTTTATCAATTTTGTCGGGTATTTCGACATACAGAGTTCTCATTGTGGGGGCGTCGACCCCTAAATACCGATCGTCATGGACCGATACGTCGATCAGTACCATTTTCGGATAAGTTCGGGCAGTACGGAATTCGTTGTCTTTTTCCGCGTACACGACCAGGCATCTGAAATTAGAACTAAAGAGTGTTAACACCGACAATTGCGTAAAACTCTGATTTATTCATTTTTACCTGTCTCTAAGTTGGTGTAGTTTGCCATCTTCAGGGGTCTGACGTAGACCAAACTCTGTGCATTCCGCGTGGCTCAGCTCTATTCTGTGGCCGCTTTTTAATGGGTATAAGTTTAATTTCGTCAATTTTCCGACTTCGCGCCACCGCCAAGGGACTATTTCCTTCTTTTTGCTTCGGTATAGATATACCCCAAGCGCAGCAAAGATTGATGCCAGTCCCAGAAATACGATTTTTCCTTCGAAGGCCATGTTAGTATTGGCCTGCTTCTATTTCATACAAAATTATTAACTCCGGCAATAACGCGTTAAGCTCGGTAGACACCATGCAATTTCTCATTTATTTTAACATAAAAAATACAAGTAAAACTTTAACTGATATTTTTTCTGTGGTAGACAGGATGCGATTTTTTTCAGCAAAATAAGCTTGATTATTTTGGTGGAATTTTGTTTTTTTTTATTTTAATACACTAAATGATACTTTTTGGTTAGTTACTTACTTTATGCATAAATATTTTTACCACGTATATAATAACTAAAATAAAAATCCCAATACTAGAAAGAAAGGAAATGAGGATATTTCTTTGAAATGTTGAACGTTCCAATGTTATATATTGGAACGATAGTTTATATAAATTTATGTACTCTGAAACTAATTTCTGTGGAATTTCCTTACATTAAGGGCTAATTTAGGTAACATATTGAAATACAGTGTTTCAAATTGTTTATTGGTTTGTTTTATAAGGTTGGAATACACATTTTTTTAAACAAATTGTCCATTGGCTTTTTGAATAATCATATTTGGGAAGCGAAACTTTTACCTGCAAGTACTGGTGATGAAGAATGAGCCTCCAATCTATTGGAGGTTGTACAGTTGCTCCTTGAAAATTTTTTTCACTTATTTTTTACGTGTGTGATTTTTGTAACTCATATAGATTTATTTGCACTTCTAAGAGTCATCTTTCACGATTTCGACTTTATTTACATTTTTCATAAAAATTAAAAAGTGTACAAACGCACAAACTCCGGAGAAAAAGTCCGGTCATTTTATCTGCAAAATTTCTTACAATTTGGTAGATACGTTGCAAAGTTTATAAAAAAAAATACATCTAGAAATTGCACCGTATCTACCGGGCTACAAATTCATCAAGACAGATGCGCGGAATATACCGGGTTAGTAAAAAGTGCAGGAACGCTTAAAACCGCCAAAGCTGGAAGATAAAATTCAACACCTGGGGGTTTTTGAAAATGCAAACAACAGTGTTGCAAATTTAGGCGTTCCGATAGTTTTTACTGAAAAAACGGTGTTGTCGTAGCTCAGTAATTAATAGAACCAACATTAAATAGGACATTTCAATTAAAACAACAAAATTATGACGTGTGAAGTACAAGTGGTAAATTTGACAACATTGCTGTTGGAATTTTTGAATACTGCAAGTTCAAAAACTCTCAGGTATCGAATTTTATCGTTCCAGATTTGGCAGTTTTGGATATATTTAAGAAAAGTAACCGTACTTTTTACTAATGCGGTATGTATAGTGATTTGGTACCCTGGCCCGACTACTAACAACAAATCTAATCTGTGACAAGAACAATTTTATAGCATGCACAATTCTATCATCTATGGTAGGATAGACAATTTCTGGGAGGGTTGATTTTTTGCCACTCGTGAATGCGAAGCCATAAAGCCGAATAATTAACGTTATGAAACCAAGTACTGTAAAGTAGATTATTCTGTCACATGTTATCACATGCCGCGTTAACACGCGAGTGTATCAACGGTTTTGTTTATGCAAACATTACGCAAATAATGCTAATAAAAATTTATTTTAGTCAATATCGAAAAATATTTTAAATTTGCTTAAAAATATATTTAAAAAATCGATAGATTATCCACGTTTTCAAAATTGAACTAGGGGTGTTTGGTTTCACCTCAATTTAATAAACTTGTATTTCCGTTTGCCTATTTCAAAACTGCATTCGGGAATTTTGGGGTTTAATTTTATGGGATCAAATCGAACGGTTTTGTCTATAAGCTAACACGTACAAAAAGGTTTCCTACTTACCGTTGTTAATACGAAAACGTTTTATCCGATTTGAGAGATCCAAACTGCCCGACCTAACCACATGATTAATGGAAACACAAATCGCTTGTCAGAGAAACGGTAGAAAAATGAACTGGATATGCAACCTATCATACACGTACATCCCGGAAATCGTTGATCATCCAAGGAGAAAATGATATACTTTACGATTTTTTTTCGGTGACGGGGTGATCTACACTAATAAAATGATGTATATACATCTTTAAAACAAGGTTTTTATTTTTTTAAACATTGCGCAGCCTAAAACTAGGTTAATAGCCTTTTTGCTCCAAAAAATATTTAATGGCATTTACGAAATCGCCGTTCATTCGAATATATCCGCAGAATTCGTTAACTTGTAACCTAAGAGGCCTAGGTGATTGATCTTTCAAAAACTCCCTGAGTTCTTTTTCAAGTAACCAAATATCACCTTTTATTCTCCTTACAATGGTGTGTCGCCTAATACATTCACGCGTAACCTTTAAATAAACCGGGATCATATGGTTTTTTGTCCTCTCAACCATGTAAGGCCGGTCGTGGAGATTGTTATGGGGCGGCTTCCAGCCTGATGGATAAAAGTCTTTTTTTACAGGTTCCGGGACCACCGTCACTGGCAACACGTTCACCACGTACTGCCAATCGACCGGGTCGTTGGTTACCTCGTACTGCGTTTTAATTTCTCCGATATCTTCCAGAAAATGAGACGCTTTGTAACTAGATTCACGCAGCAGGTCCAGCTACAATATCAACTGTTTTTAGTAATGGTTCTTACAAAGTAATTAGTCTTACTCGGGCTACTTGGGGTACTAATTTGCGCAAATTCGATGTCAGTTTGAACAAGGATACCATTTCGGATTTATTTAGTGTATTTCTGTATTTACAGTAAAAAGTTATTCAGATTTTTCTGCGAGGGTTAGACATCAACTCTTCTTCTTTTTTGACCGCACAATGAATTACCAAATTATGTTCTACGTTTTCCCGCACTTGTTCTAGAAAACGAATACACAACCTAGAGCATAAACAAGTCGATACGACGGAATTTCCCGCATTAAAATGTCTTGTAACAGCGTGAAGGCGTTTTTCAAACAACAATACGGTTTCAGTAAGTAATAATTGACGCTCTCGTACTCGCAAAGTTAATACCCTCAATTCCAGCACCATGGAAAGAATCCGATACGCTTATGTATCGTTTACGATGCAAACCGCAGAATGCGTTCACTCAATTGCTCAGCACCGCCGACGACGAAGAATATTTCCGAGACACGCCTATCTTTGCTTGCAAAAGCGCAACGCAAGAAGGGTATGAGCATTTTGTGGCCCTGGCAAATGAGGATGGCAAACTAGCAGTACACGATTGCGAAACTAGAGCACGATATGGTACAACAGCCCACAATAACGCCATCTTCGATTTGTCTTGGATGTTTGATCAAATGAAGATTGTGACTGCATCAGGGGACCATACCTCGAGGCTCTATGATTTCGGTGAAGGCGAGATCCGACAAGAACGGATATTTTGCGGTCACTCGAGATCAGTGAAAACAGTTTCGTTTAGAAAAGACGATTCGAGTGTATTTGCCAGCGGCAGTCGGGATGGGAATATAATTTTGTGGGACACAAGGACTACCCAGAACAGTTTGATTGGCAAAGCTGATATTACCATAATAAATTCCCATTTGGGCAGTGCGACCCCAAGCAAATTGAAAAAGAAAAACGTTCCTACGAACTCGGGTATCAAGAGCGTCACTGGGTTAGTGTTTCAGGATCAAAATACTCTAATATCGTGCGGGGCAGGCGACGGTGTAATCAAAGTGTGGGACTTGCGGAAACATTATGTTTCCGCGAAAAGGGAATCGACACCGAAATTAGTTATTCCTTACGCGGGCAGCAGCGCCAAAAATGGGTTTAGTAATTTAGTGATTGATGCTACGGGGATGAAGCTCTACGCCAACTGTCTGGACAATAACATTTACTGTTATAACGTCGCCAATTGTAATTACGAGCTGATAATGAGGTATAGCGGGCATCAGAACAGCACATTTTACATAAAGTCGGCCCTGTGCAAACAGGGGAATTATTTAGTAAGCGGCAGTAGCGACGAAAGTGCTTACCTGTGGAACACAAAATACCCCACACCCGTCGTTAAGCTGTCCGGGCATTGTGCTGAGGTAAGTCGAGTTAGGGCTCGTTTTATTATGTTGGACTTTTATTCTTTTATATTTTACCCATATAGTTTTAAGTTAATATAGTGGCCCTACTACGGTAAAAATTGATGCGCCGCAGGTGGCTATGATTTTTTCGAGAAGGTATGGGGATCTTTTGCGGCACCCTAATTGACTGAGTTGCTTCATTGCTGTAATTTTTCTGGAAAATTCATTAACTAAGTCTGTGCCCTGTGTTTTTATTTTTGGTGTCAATATCTCCGTACTGCAAACCTATATAATTTGTGCTTTCAATACCTTGTTCTTTCACGAAATTATAACAAATGTGGCAAATATGAGGACCTAATAGGATCTTAGAGAAACAGTGACAGTTTTAGGTACGCTTAAGTAGCTACGAAGGAGATTTGGGTAATTTGTAGAACAAATATAAGAAATATCTCTTGTCAATTACCCTCTGTAGGAGGTGCTTCATGAACTTTTTTTTTTCATGTGCGATATCTAACACCTCAAGGTTATTTCAATGGAGGTTAAACCTATGGGTTTATAAAAACTGACCCTTTGCGGCGATTCGCAAAAAAAAATAACTTACATAAAAAATACATGTAGAAATTGCATGGTATCTACAGGCTTTGAAGAACAATTCTGCACTTCTTTTCCAGAACTTAATTTTTTTTTTACTACCGTAAAAATGCCGCATCCAGACATTGACGATCTTTCAGCGGCTATGTTGTTTGTTGAAAGCCGCATGGTCTTATAGATCCAACTTTAGAATTTGCATTTAAAGTTGCCATTGGTTAAAAACGAAATTTTAAATTTCGCGTATGCTTTGCGTTGAATGGACCTTCTTAAAAAAAATTACATAGTTGCTTCATGAGTTCCCGTACTGTCAGCATAGGGAGTGCCTCTATATGTCTAGTAGCTATATACTTTTATCTTTAAAATTTGGGTAAAACTAGCAACGCGAAATGATTGTTTTGTTTTTATTTTTATATTTATATTATGAGCGGAACATGACGTTCCCAAGCCCAATTTTCCTCCGTCTCCGTAAATCTATATGTACAGGTGACTTGCGTGGCGTGGTGCTGCGGCAAGCTGAACCCGTCCCTGATTACGTGCTCGGACGACATGACGCACAGGATATGGACGGTGGATCACGAGGAGAACTCGCACGAAGCAAATCGCGGCCGTGCCGAAATTTTGTCGGTCAAACTGGCCGTTTCTTCGCACCGCAAACGAGCGCTTCCGCCATATTGTCACGAAAACACTCCAAAAAAACTGATCTCGCAGTGTCGTAACTGCAAAACCGCCACATTCAAGGACGTCCTCTGCGAGAATTGTCTGTCGACGTCATCGTTGAAACGCAAGGCAAGCGATGACGTCGAGGACGAATCGGTCGGCCACAAATTCAAACGGTCTAACGTGGGCGCGTTATCCAAAAGGCTATTCGGCCATTCGATTTGCAATAATCGCGCGCTCGACGACGAAAGTATAAACTTGAAATCATTGGATACCGCTTTGGATTCGTTTGGCACCGCCCCATGTTCACCCACTCTGAACCTACCGAATTACGTGATAGATGGTGCTGCGCCCCACTTAAACTATTCGCCGGCAAAACAGAAGAGTCCTGACTGGTTAACGAAGATCAGGAAAGAGCGTCACCTGAGGCAAGAGATGTTGGATCGGACCGTCGGACCATCGTCGCCCAAGATACCCAGACTCGAAACATTCGCGAGAGGTAAGCGGTCGTCGACGACGCCCAAGAGCCCACTGTTAAGGTTTTTTAAGATGACTACAAGCACGGGCAGGTGCGACACCGCACTGAGATCACCCAAGACTCAGGATTTTGGGAGCTTGGCGTACAGATTGAGCCAGTGATAGGCTGTCAGGCCAGTCAAGATCTCGTTAATTAGGTTCCCATGTTGAACATTAATTTATTTTGGATGCTTAGTGTAAGGACTGAAATAAAAGTATTTTTTTATATAAATAACATATTGTTTTAGTAACGTACATTATAGTATATAATCCTCTTTGTATGTTAAAAAAATACATATCTATATGCTATGTTAGGTACATTATTTACCTGCATTTGATTATAAGTGAACTGCGATACAAAAAAAAAGTTGGACCCACTGAATTTTGAATGCGTATATTTTGGGTGGTCATTCGGAAATAGCGAAGAGTTCTGGCAAATTGCAGTGAACAACAAAAAAATTTCGATTAAGTTGCATTAAAGGCGTTCACCGCCTACTGTTAGTAAATTTACGTCAGTGAAGAAAGAAGCTTCATTTTAATTGGGTTTGTATCATCTGCCAATATAAAGCTACTTGGGGATGGATCTGAGCGGGATTTTCCTCACTAAATATAAACCTAAAATTAAGCTGAATAGAAATATTATATAAAATTTGAAAGTAAAACCCCCTACTGATAAACTTGTCTCTGACCCGGCACTTTCTTCAGTTTATTGTTTTTGTAGTAGTTCCTCAAGGACCTGGACATTTTGTCATAATTCATTTTAGGAATGTTTTTCTTTTGGCCCCACAGTCTTGCCAGGCCTTGCGGATCAACTATCTTAAATACGCCCGACAATTTGTCAAGCCACTGAATGTAGGCGATATACTTCTCCTCGGGGTCGTTAAGCAAGAACTGAAGATAGTTCCAGAGGTGGCTCTTCGTCGCTGAAACTATGAAAACCTTTGTAAGGGATATTAAAGTTAGCGCTTCGAAATTATTAGTCAAAGCCTAAATTCTAAAAAGGATACGAAAAATAAAAGGATACGCCTTTCGGAACATGCGCGTGGTCCGAAAAAAGTTGCATTCCACAAATTCAGGCCGTAATGTTTTATTTCCGGTAGTTAAAATATGAAAAATAGGTTAGGTTCATTCATAGATATATAGAAGAGCTTTGTTTTTGTTGTTGTTGCGGGCATGGTATAACATAGAAAATCGGAAAACACCGTTTAAATCTAACGCATTCCGTAGTGTAAGCAGCGTCTGCCCGTGATTTGGCTCCCGGATTTTTAGGAACTGTGTCATAATGGACATGTTAATTCAAAATCTACATTCTTAACTTTTTTTGGTTAGTGTTGGTTTTGACACTTGCTTGCTTGCTACAGAGATGTCCGCTAGGTATTAGTGGTACAGTGAGCTAAATTATAACATCGAATTAAAATCCAAAATATTTATCTATATTGTAAATGTAAAATCATCACATTATTTATTTAATATTATACAAGAATAGAACGATTAATTATCTCTCGTAATACGGTAACGATCGTATTCGCCCCGATGATGCGGACGGATGTAATCCTTTAAGGTATCCAACAAATCTTTACTTGTATGGTGAACGATTTTGTCAATAACGCTCAAAAGTTCAGGAAAATTGTCGTTTTCTTTGTAGGACTTTATCGCATTGACAAACTCCATGAACTTGATGCCCAAATTTTCTTTCGCCTAAAAGAACCACTAACAAAAGAAACACCAATAAATAACGATCAAGGCCAGTACCAATGAGATCAGTTCGACGCTCTTTGCGCTAATCTCTTCCGTTCGGTCAAACGGTTTTTTTTGCGTGACGTAAATCTTCTTCTTTTTTATCGGGTTGGACAACGTCTCTTGTCTAACCCGTTTGTGTATTGTCACCAAATCTCCGAGTTCCGAATCCAAACTAGACGATGACGAAACGGATTCAGAACTGGCAAAAGAGGAGATTCGAGCACCGGACGTGCTCGGCTGGTCGACCAAAGTCGGCGCAGGTGCCTAAAAATCTTTTTTATCCACGACGTTTTGGAAAATCTTTAAAATTTTCACGACCGAATCGCCATTTTGCTTACCCTAAGGTTGGCAGCCCTAAAAAACACGGACAAGTCTTTGATGATTTCGCCGAAACGATTTACGATTTGAACGTGATTTCTGAGCCATTTCGAAAGTTCGTTTTTAACTCTGGCATTGTTAAACCTCTGGTCGAGCAACAGTATGGCTCCGTAATCGTCTTTGTGACGGATCACGCGTCCGATCGCTTGATTAACCGCTCGGGTCGCTTCTAAACAGTACCAATCTTGTCCCGTCAAATACTGTAAAAAATAAAATTTTGACGCGATGTCGAGTTCAGTCTGTCGCACCCCGATTCCGACTAACCTCTTTGTTTTCGCCATGGCAGACGTCCAAATAGCGTCGTTTCAATATAACCCTCGGTTCTTTAAGTGGCGGGTAAGGCAAACCGACTATTATCACGGCGCGGCCATTCGAGTCAGCGAAATCCACTCCCTCCGACACCTTACCTCTACACACACCCATAAAAATTGCGCCTTTCAGATTAGGGTCGCGGATTTTTTGGTAGTAAGAGGCCATCGCGACCGCGAACGCCTCTTTTTGTTTTGGCTCGACAAAAATGGCCTGAAAGACAATTTGGCTAATAAACGTACCCAATAAGAAGAAGAAACCACTTTCACCAATTGTGACCTCAGTAAAAGGAGGAAGAGAGGATACGGGCAAGGTTAGGTTCAGAACCCAAAGAGCGAATAATTTAGTTGACTTCCTAATTTTTACCTTCTGGGCGGCTATATTAGACCACATGCCATTTCCCTGCCAAAAATCAAGGCACGACTGCATAATCGGGTATGACGGGAAAAATATCAAGAGGCCGCCGGGAATTACTCGAGTCAAGTTCAATATCGACCTGCCGAGCGATGTTTTATAATTAGGATTGTTCCGGTTCTGGTAATTGCTGTTTAATGTCTCGCCGTCCGGTCCCACCGACAAAACTTTGACGCATATCTGGGTGTGGTCGACGATATGCGGATTTTCTAACCTCACTTTTACGTTGAGCTCCAATTCGGATATGAGAGGGTTCAGCGGAGCAAGGGTGCCGCTCGTTAGGATCAAAGAACGGACGTTTTGATCCATTATAACATTCATTCTATAAACATGGTGAAATTTGAATGGCATAGGGTTGTTGATCAGAGACGGACTTACCCAAAACCTGGACTAAAACACCAGTAGCTGAGAACTCTGCCAGCTGGTTTGGATGCCTTGGACAACCAGTTGGAGCCCTTGGACTTGGAACCTTCCTCTTCGGCTATGTGTATTTTATAACATTTTCTGACTTTTTTTACAAAATCCTCTGTGTTTTTTACAAAAACTACAGTCAAGAAATCGCCAAACTTCCTAAGCCCTTTACCCTTCCTTTGGCCCTCATTCACCGTGGCCAAGTATTGTGTTATTTTGTCAATTGTCATAGTAACTCCGTAACAATTCTCTCTGGTTATCTACAACACAGTGCAAAGGCATAAGCTCCTCAAGGCTCTAGTTGTCTACCTGCGCTTTTTCCAACAACTGAAACACATAATCACCAGGGAAATTGGTCCCTTCGTCCAGTTGTTTATTTAGTGGAACTTCGTCAATGGCCTTTTCAAAATTCAACAGCATCTCTTTCAATAGACATACTTCTTCGGGAGTGAAGTCTTTAGGTGAATCGTCGAAGCTAATCGGCTGCTCAGACATAACCTTCATCAAAGCCGTGAGCTCATCAGTGGCCAAAGCTATGTCGGTACTCCTGATGGACACTGAAGTGGTCTCCTCACAAGTCTTCTCAACATTGTGAGCTTCATCTAGTATTACCACATTGTTTTGCAAGTTTAGACCTGCAAAATCAACCAGAGAATTGGTTAAAACATCCCCGGTAAGTTTTACCTAAGGCTTTCCTAGCTAAGGGATCAAATAGGTAGTTATATGGGGTGAAAATAATATCTGCACGCTTCTGTAACTCTTTGGTCATGTAATAGGGACAAAAGCTGTGTTTTCTGCCCACTTTAACAATGTCTTCTATGTCTATAACACTTAATTCAGTTAAAATGGGATCTTCTTTCTTCTGGTCGACTCTATTATAAAAATGGCAGGTACCGGAAGCCAACTTCAGTTGACACATTGTGATCTAAAAAAAGAAATTCATTCTAAGGATCTAAAAAAAACACAAAAATATTTTTATATTACTCTCGTATTCATGTCATTTTCAGCCAAAACATCGGGATGAATGCAAAGCTGGTCTCTTGACGCTAATACTGAGGCTCTCATGTACTTGTAAGATGTCCTTTTCAGCTCCTGCATCGCCTGCTGCAGCTGCGTATGCGTACGAGAGGAGTAAATAACTGTAGGCAAACCAAGGAAAGATCTACCGCTCGCCAGCTTGCCCCCTTTCGCCCCCAACTCATTATTCAGTTCCACTAAGAACTCGTTTTCTGTGCCATTAAATAGCGGCATTTTATGTTGTGCCTGAATTTGAGCTTTTTTCGTTTCGAGCCAGGCTAACGAGGAACACAATAGGGACAAAGTTTTACCGGTACCAGTTGGTGATTCCAATACTCCCACACATTCATCTTGTAGACATTCAATTACTTTTTCCATGTAATCTTTTTGAATTTCGTATGGCTCGAACGGAAAGTTCACGGATATGCCCTTTATGTTTACGACTACCATATTCCTTCGTTTATTAGAAATAGTAACAACACACACCCGAATTCAAAAATGTTACTGCAGTTGGAGGGAAATAACTGAACATGTAGTGGTGGTTAGGTTTTACAGAACAAATTCAAGTTTGCCAATTGATGGTTTATGCAGAGAAAAACGTGCCAATATTCGCTTTTCTCTGGTTGTTGGTAGAGACTATTTGGGCTATAGCACCACCTGCAATGGACAGACAGTATATTGCTTCATTGTCAGATCAAACTTTCACCTTCCAAATATGATTATAAAAAATGCCAAAGGACAATTTGTTTAAAAAACTAAAAAAAATATTTAGGAAAATTAAGGACTGTTGCACAAACAAGCCAATAAACAATTTGTTTAAAAAAACTGCATTTCAATATGTAAACTAAATTAGTCCTAAACAAAGAGTATAAGATAGAGGGGAAGGCTCCCATTAGTGGCAATGTTAAAAAGCGGACACGAGTTTCAACGCCCCTCGTGATTTTGTCCAGTCATGAAAACGGAAAACGCGCGAGACGTACGGTTCAATTCAATTTAAAGTTTGAAAGATAAAATGTGAAAAAAATAATTTATATCGAAATAGGTTTTTTTTTTTTTTAATAAAATATAAATAAAGTGCTGTTATCCGTTTCAATGTGACGCATTACTTTAAACGGCCATGACATTACTTGGACACAAATAATAGATGGCATTCGTAACAGTATACGTGACTTTCCTCTCTATCTTATACTTTTTGGTCCGAAATATAATAGAAGTGCACAGAAATTCGTTTTAGAAAATACATAAATTATGATGCTGCTGTTTTCTTGGTTCTTGTAGTTACATGGTATGCGAATGTCTCATTGTATTACAACTTACATTGCAATATTTTTTAATATATTTTTTATTTTTTATTATTATTATTTCTTTATTTTTGGTATAACGATTATGGAATTTCCTTATTCCCACAAACTATTATATGCGTCATAAAAACAATTTTGCATATAATTTTGCCATTTAACACTAACAAACACTAAAAAGTCTCATTTATTGTATCAATTTTTAAAAATCAACCTTTAAAAACAGAATTCCATCCAAATTTTGCTAGAAAGAAGTGCATAGCGTCCGCCATAAAAAAATGGCAGCATACATTTTCACCAGCAACTTTTATCTGCTAGAAATACACTTAGAAATTGCACCGTGTTTACCGGGCTTTACAGATCAATAAAAACGTTTTCGGGCTATTATCGGCCTACGAGTAAGTCATCAGTCAACCTAATTTTTCTATTTCATTCTGATATTTCCGTGAGGAGGAGAATGCCATTTAGTAAAAAACTGAAAAAAAATTCAGGAATAATATAAGCGTATAACCTGGTTTTACTACACTAAGTTTACTTCGAAAAGAGTTGAAACTTTGAAACAGCTGATTGACCACAGGCTTTCAGGCTACTTTCACTTTTCGTATTAAAGTGTGGTTTAGAAATACAAATTACTTATCTTTTCAACTGAATAAAATTGAAAAATCAAAACTTGTTGGGTACTTCAATTTTCCCGCCCGTTTGTAATAAAATTTTGATTCAAGATGAGTTATGAAATTGGTTTGGTTAGATGACAAACGACAAACTCGTAGACTCTCAACCATAACAGGCTGAAAAGCTTTTATAGGATTATAAAATCGTGATCCTATAACAAGAATGTGGGTACTACATGTTGAGAGTTGTCCTGGGTAATAACTGATGCTTTTATGAAAACACAACGAAACTTGCTTTTATTTATTTTTATTCGGCGCCATTTTGCATACTCATCCCGCTTCTTCTTCTTCGCGATTGACACAACTCTAATAGTGATATTGTTCGAAAATGGTAACTTGTAAGAATTAAAATCGAACTTCACTTCAAAAAGTAATGACAATGAATAAATGCGAGTAAAATCAGGGAAAAATAAATCTCACATTTTTATCTATACTAAGACATGTTCCGTCAGTTTAACCTCGCCTTATCAGTATAGAGGTTAATATTGAGTTATAGAACCCATTTTACTTAAACATCATAAATATGGTAATGATATAACCAAAAGAAATTAGTTGCTTTGCGGGTTAACTGTTTGTTTCCAGGGTAAAACTAAGAAAACGCGCAAAATAGCGGTCAAGAGATTCGCCAAAATGAAAAGCATGATCAGCCCGAGCGACCCGCGGATAAAAGCATCGCTAAGAGCCCCTCCGCGAAAAAAAAAAAAGGACGACCCCTATGCAGTGCAGGTGCGCGAGGCCCCTCAAGCCAGTTCAGCGTTATTCTTTCAATACAACACGCAGCTGGGTCCCCCATATCATGTGTTGCTGGATACAAACTTCATCAATTTCTCAATTAAGAATAAGCTGGACATAATCCAGAATATGATGGACTGTTTGTATGCCAAAACAATCCCTTATATAACCGACTGTGTCTTGGGAGAGTTGGAGAAACTGGGACAGAAATACAAGGTCGCTTTGCGTATCATTAAAGACCCCAGGTTTGAACGAATCCATTGCCTTCATAAAGGGACATACGCCGATGACTGCATTGTGCAACGTGTTACCCAACACAAGTGTTATATTGTGGCCACTAACGATAAAGACTTAAAAAAAAGAATTCGAAAAATACCGGGAGTGCCAATAATGTATGTTTCTCAGCATAGGTACACTATAGAGCGAATGCCCGACGCATACGGTGCTCCAAAAACTTGAAAAAGGCATTAAAAATTAAAAAAAAATCAACATATTTTTATTAACTACTGTGTTTAATTTTCCACGCCCCTATGGTGTATCTCAACCAGATCAGGCCCAAATCGATGCCCATCTGTATCCAGCTCCATATGGGGGTCACTTTGGATCCGTCGATTTCAGTCCAGTTGACGGCAACTTCAGAGATGGGAATGTTTAACTTTTGGGCTATGTAAAGCAATTCCACGTCAAATGCCCATCTTTCAACATGTAAACTAATGAAACATATCTTCGCAGCTTTCCGGGTGAACAGTTTGAAGCCACATTGGGTGTCTCTTATGCCTTTTACAGCAAAAAGCCACACTAAAAAATGGAATCCGTACATCAAAATAACGCGAAAAAAAGTACGGCTCGCCACAGCTTCCTCTTCAAGGTGTGCTCTTGATCCTATACTTATTGCGAGTCTCTCTTCCACCACATCCCTAGTTCTTAAATCGTCACAATCAATAAGTCCCTTCAAACTTTCTTCCATTTTAACGAGATCACAAAATTTTGTGGCTCCATCGGCATCCGCAAATAACAACAGAGCTCCCCTTGAACTTTGCATTCCCTAAAAACATATGAGTGGTTCAAATGAAAAACAATTTTTACCCCAATTGTCCCAACCAAACGCACAGCGCCACCTTTGCCTCTGTTTGTTTCCAATTTCAGAACTCTAACTTTATCTGTGCCATACTTTTTAGAATACTCCAACGCTCTTTCAACTGTGTTGTCTGAACTGCCATCACTTACTACTATGACCTCATATTTAAATGATAATTGCCTACTTCTTTGTTCTAGAAACTCTAGACATTCGTCAAGCATTGGAGGAACTGCAAAGGTTTTTTTTTAATTTTAATGCATTAAGGTAAAATGGGATAATTTACGTCTGACTTCTTCATTATAAGCTGGTACCACAACACTGAGGTAAACACTGGATTTATTTGTAATTGTAGGGAATTCGATATTTTCACCGGTCGCGGGGTCCAAAAAATATTTCTCCTTCTTGCTCCGCCGTACTACCGGATACGCGTTGGAATTAGAGATTAATATGAGGCATACCTGAAATCAATGAAAGATTATAACATAGATTCGGAATTTAACTAACCCCTAATATGGAAGAAAAAATCAAGGCGCTTCCATAAAACAGAAGAGCGTTTACATCGGCTATCATATTGGTTGATTATCTTTTAATACGCTGGCATATTTAAATTTTTCCTTTACTCTCAGACATTTTTAGGTTAATAACCATTGACAACAACTAGAAAAATTCACATCCAAAGCACGGACCAGGAAAACCTATTCACAAGTTTGTGAACATTATTACCAAGGAAGAAGGAAGTCGAGAATGGCATTAACCTCGTACGGGTTGTCACGTTGTAATTTCTTCGCTTAGGACTTTTGACTGTAATTGATGCCCGAAATTAAGTATTGTCTCTGTTTTTACTTATCATTACATAGACTGCTGAATTTCTAGCCACAATGGTAATTATTACCTCTTGTCTTAAACGTAGGTATACCGTGTGATCTTCATTGTCTTAGGCCGCTTTGGAACGGAAGGGCACCTTCAAAGTGCAGTACCTGCGTGATATCGAGGCCGAAGTTCAACAGCGATGGCGTGAAGAGAAAGCGTTTGAACAAGATGCTCCCCTATCTGGCTCTAAAAAATCAGACAAAGAAAAGTTTTATTGTTCATTCCCTTACCCTTATATGAATGGTCGGCTGCATCTGGGCCACGCGTTTTCCTTGTCTAAATGTGAATTTGCGGCCAGATTTCAAAGGCTTTTGGGTAAAAAGGTGCTTTTCCCGTTGGGCTTTCATTGTACTGGTATGCCTATCAAAGCTTGTGCCGATAAACTCAAAAGGGAGATGGAACTTTATGGAACTCCCCCTCAATTTCCCGACGTTGAGGAACCCATTGTTGAGGATAACAGCGATGTAATTCCTAAAGATAAGTCCCAGAGTAAAAAAGTAAATTTAAGGTAGTTATGACAACAGATGAAATATATTTTTTATTTTTAGAGTAAGGCCTTAGCAAAAACTGGGTCCGCGAAATACCAGTGGCAGATTATGGAAAGTTTAGGCATACATAAAGATGAAATTAAACATTTCGCAGATGCAAATTACTGGCTAGACTACTTTCCACCCTTAGCAGTTGAAGATTTAAATCGGTTTGGATTAAATGTAACATCAATTTTTCTTTTCCTTGGCTGCGTTTTATTTACCTAATTTCCTTAGGTGGATTGGCGGAGAAGCACCATAACAACCGACGCGAATCCGTTTTATGATTCATTCATCAGGTGGCAATTTTTAAGGTTAAGGGACAGGAACAAGATAAAGTTTGGCAAAAGGTATACTATATATTCAGCAAAAGACGGTCAGCCTTGTATGGATCATGACCGTTCAACTGGCGAAGGTGTTGGTCCTCAAGAGTACACCCTAATCAAAATGAAGGTTTTGGAACCCGTTCCTGTGAAATTGCAGTGAGGGCAACTAATATGTGCCTTGTTTTGTTTGTTTCCTATCTTTTGATTTGTTCCAGGCCTCTGAGAGAAAAACCCATATATTTAGTTGCCGCCACTTTAAGGCCGGAAACCATGTATGGACAGACCAATTGTTGGCTAAGTCCAGATATGACATATATTGCGTTTGAAACGAAAGCCGGTGAAGTATTTGTTTGTACTGAAAGATCTGCCAAGAACATGTGCTTCCAAGGATTCACTAATACAGAAGGATATTTTGACATTCTGCTAGAGGTAGTCGGGCAAGTGAGTTCAGGGTGTTATGAAGTCGACACATGATAATTTAACTAGTGAATCTGTATCCGTCCAGGTGCTAAAACAATGTTTTCTCTGTTTTCAGGACCTATTAGGATGTGTCTTAAAAGCTCCCCTAACGATTTACGAGAAAATCTATGCCTTGCCCATGCTCAGCATCAAATATGACAAAGGTACAGGGGTGGTAACTAGTGTGCCGTCGGACGCCCCTGATGACTATGCCGCCTTGGTGGATTTAATAAAAAAACCGGCGTTCAGGGAAAAATACTGCATCGAAGAGCACATGGTCATACCTTTCAAGGCGGTGCCTATCATAGAGGTTCCCGAGTACGGTAATCTGTCTGCTCCCGCGTTGTACGAAAAATTCAAAATTCAAAGTCAAAACGACAAGGATAAACTGGTTGAGGCGAAAAAAATAGTCTACCTTAAGGGTTTTTATGATGGCGTAAGCGTCGACGTCAGTATAGTTTTCCTAGGTTCTAAGCTTCGGCCTTAATTTCAAGGTTATGTTGGTTGGGGACCACAGAGGCCAAAAAACCAGGGACGTCAAGAAACTACTGCAAAAATCTTTGGTGGACGCGGGCGACGCGGTGATTTACTATGAACCGGAGAAGACAGTTATATCACGTTCGGGCGACGAGTGCGTCGTAGCTCTATGCGATCAGTGGTACCTCGACTATGGCGAGGAGAACTGGAAGAATCAAGTGAAGATCGCCATCGAGAATCTAAACACGTACCACGATGAGGTTAAGAGGAATTTTTTGAGCTGCGTGGACTGGTTGCACGAGTATGCATGTTCAAGGACTTACGGGCTTGGCACCAAGCTTCCGTGGGACGAGAGGTGGCTCATCGAGTCGCTTTCCGATTCTACCATTCATATGGCTTATTACACCGTTTCCCATTTGCTACAGGTAAAAAAAAGCGTGCATTGTAAAGAATCCTATATGCCAAACAGCCGACCAACAGCTATATCGCAATTTTTTGACACTTTAGGGCCGTAGGCTCCACAAGGGCACAATTTGATATTTCGCTCCGGGATATTTAAATACAATGACAGATATTGGTTGAAAAAAAAAAGGAAAATGAAAAAATTGCTGTAAATAATTATTCGGTATAATTTTGGTTGGCTTTACAAACATATCAACTGGGTGATTAAAGTCGTCAAGTAAACTTACCGCAGTGTGTCGCTTCCTGTAGGGGATGTTTTAAAAAAATATATTTATATGTTGTATAGATGTAATTGGTAAGTATTTGATTTTATTTATACTTATTTCAATTTTAGAAGCATTTAACTTTCCAGAAAATTATATGAAGTGGAAAAAATATCGATAATCTTTTATATACGTTTAAATAAATATGTTTTTTTTTTATATACTCTTAGTCTGTCATAATAAAATGAGTGATGCAAGCAAGAAAAAAATTCGTCAATATTCGGAGGGATATTTAAATTTTGGTTTCATACACGCTGTTCACGATGTCTTTTTGTCTTTTATGCCAGCAATGCTTGACTAACAAATCATCTTCAAGGCTAAATATAGTGCTCATATTTATTCAAATTTGAGTTACTTTAAAAGTAAAAAAAAGAACAGAATTAAAGTCTTTATTTACTGCAAGTACTTCAACTAATAATCGTCTTACTGAGGCTCATCAAATTTGTTTATTAATTGCTAAGACTGGAAAAAATCGCTATAGGAGAGAATTTGACAAAAACCGTCAATATCAGCATTTCTTAAAACGGTTCTGGAAAAAGATGACAACGATCTAAAAGCTATGCCACTCAATAATAATATCGTTAGCAGAAGAATAGACCAAATGAGCGAAGATTTTGAAAAACTGAAAGCAAGAAAATTCTCAGTGCAAATGCATGAATCAACTTTGGGAGACAGTTAGGGAGTATTGATAACTTATGTAAGATATGTTAATGAAGCCAATATCTTTCAAAAACTATATGTATTAAATAAGCAGCTTCAAGAAACAAACACTTATCGATGCAAACTCAAAGATATTTGGTTTCATTACCAATATAGAGTTATATCAGAAACATATTAACAACAAAAACTTTGAACAGTTTCATTGGCGGAAAAAATGTGAAGTAACTTATTTTTAACCTAATATAAAATCTCTGTGCAGCAAGCATTAAGCCTAAGGATCGCACTAAATTAATATAGAAAATCTGCATTAAAATTACTTTGAATTTGAATTTTTTTTTGTTATATGTTTTTACCTATTATTTACTGTTTTTTGATAGCAATTTCAAAGTGATATCTTCATAAAACCTAGCATTTATGTTTCTTAAATTAACAAATCAATTTTTTAATGTTAAAAATTATGTATGGGGGGATAAAAATTTTAGAACTCTTACAGTGGGGTCTGGCTTAAAAAAGGTTGGGAAACACTGCTTTAGAGACTTGTGTATACTAAAAACCTTTTCTATGTTTGACAAAAAAGAAAAATTAAATATTTGCTTCTCTAAGGCCTACTGCTAATTTAAGAATAAACATCATTAAATAAACATATCTTAAATATTAGTATGCATATTATACATTAATATTAATGTTATAATTTAAAATAAACAGACAGTTGTATATTAATTGTATATATTGAACAAAAAAAAGAAGAATAATGTAATTAAGTCGTGATACAAAATTAAAGCGAAATTATTAAGAGTGGAAGGCATATGCTATCCAAAGTGTACACGTGCCCAGTTTACACAAGAGTTAGTAGATAACACGGATACCGTTCAAAGAATTCGAATCAATACAAAAAAATAAATAAGGCGACCACGCTTTAACAATTTGAAAATATAGGTCAACAAAAGTGTATAAGTTCATGTGGGTGCAGTCGCACTTGCGATCAAGGTCAAGATCAAACTCTAACAATTCTTACTCCAAGTCGGCCCGCGCAGGTCAAAATCGACTCCAAATTCATAATCATGAGAATAGCCTTTATTGAACAGCTATAATAATAATAAGAGTTAAAAAATGTGTTATTGGTATACTAATAAATGGACCTTAATTTTTTTTCCTAAATACTAGAACTGAGCTGGATTCAAAATATTTCTTATAATTATTATAAAGTTTAATGGAACGCACTAAGGCTAAAGCAGCGTTCAAATTTACAAGTATAGTAGTGTCATTTCGTTACTTCTGCGCCCTCCGTCACCCAATCTCTCTTATGTTTCGGTCGGGGGGTGGGGCGTAGGGCATAACAGTAAGCAAAATGAACTACCATCCATTTCAAATCCACCCGCAAAACAAAAACGAACAACCACAAAATTTCTCTTTTCGGTGCGCTGATCGATGTATTTTTGAATTTTCTGCAGGGGAATAGTTTTCGGGGCGAATGGAATCAGGTCCTGATCAAACCGGAACAAATGACGCCCGAAGTGTGGGACTATATATTTTTCGCCGACGCCCCATACCCGTCGGAATGCGGGATTTTCCGTGTTCTCCTCGACGCCATGAAACGCGAGTTCGAGTACTGGTACCCGTTCGACGTGCGCACGTCCGGAAAAGACCTGATCCAGAATCACCTAACATTCTGCCTCTATAACCATTGCGCGATATGGCCTGACGACCAGACCAAATGGCCGAAGGGTATGCGCGTCAACGGCCACCTGCTCTTGAATTCCGAGAAGATGAGCAAGTCGGCGGGCAACTTTCTCACTCTCGCAGAAGGTTTAGACAAGTTCGGCGCCGACGGTATGCGTTTGTGCCTCGCCGACGCCGGCGACTCCATCGAGGACGCCAATTTCGTCGAGAGCACCGCCGATGCCGGCATCTTGAGGCTGTACAACTTTCTCGAGTGGGTCAAGCAAGTCATGGACAGTAAAGGGTCTTTAAGGTTGGTTTGTTTATTAGTTACTCTGTTCTTTGGTAACTCGGCAACCGTTTGAGCTAGAAGGTTAAAATCCTCACACATTTTAAATAGTCAGAGATATGAATGGACCCTGTTTTTTTTTGTCTGTTTTCCTTCGATGGTTCGATTTCGCTAAGCACCCAAAATTTGCAGCTGTCGGCCTGAGGTTGATATAAAGCATATCCGAAACAAGACACTCTGGTGATGTGGCATCGTTAGTTTGTTTCTATACTTTACGTTTACAAGGTGGATCTTAGTGCAGAAATAAGTCGCTCTCTTAGCAGAGTTGATGAATCGATATTATGTAAAATATTCATGACGAATGTGTTGAAATGTAGAGCTCTTTTTTGTTCCATTTTAAGCAGCCAATTAAATCTGACGATATGCGGCAGATATATGGTCGTATTTTCAGAGACATATAGTAAAATGTACACAAAAACCCAAATATCACGTCGGTTGTCAGGTTGAAATGTAATTTCAAATGTAAAATAGGCCTGCTACTATTTAAAATTTTTAGTGAAAGATATTTTTTAAATGAAGAAATCGCTCATCAACAAAAGTCGCATCAGTCAATGTACGGTTAGAGGCTGTAACTCTTGTAGGCTCATTTATAATTTGTTGAAGATTGTAACTTTCGAAGAAAATTACTACTGGATTATCATGAGTAAAAGATTAACATTAAAATCTCCAAGAGAAAAAATTGCATCAACAGTGGGATATGCATTGGAAAATATATTGTCTAAATCAACTAAATCATCGTTCAAATTAACATTAGGGGGTCTATAAAAACAAGAACATGCGATTTTCTCCTCTAACCCAATTTTTATGATTAATTACTCTCAACCATAATTTACATTAAAATTATTACTAACCGCTTCTATATTTAAAGTACGTTTTTCTACTCAGTTCTTTAAAATACCCAATTATACAACGATCTAGCGGGAAGCGTCACTTTACCATGTGAGTTTCTTGTCCCACGGATCTGAGCTACTTCGGACATTGCCGTGATATTACCGCGCGGGTTTGGGAGCAATCGGATGTTTTCGGAGATATTTCCCACGCTTTCAATTTTGACATTTGTCTATTCTGACGGTCATGTCGTGAATGGATTCAGGTTGTTTTGTAAAAAATTTGCCAAAAACTAACACTCACAGAAAAAGTATAGTATGCAACACATTTGGTAAACTTTTTAAGTCAAATACCGTTTACCACAATTGTTGCACAATACACTATTAACAAATGCAGCAACTCCATCACCTTGACCCAGTCTGGGTCATCAGTTTCAGGCAGAAAGCTGACAAAAATTATTGCTTTTGTGCTATTTTAAATTTTGGATTATTTATACGAACAGGTCAAAAGTAATTAATTTCCTTATACCATCCTGAATTAAAAAAATAACAAAAAAAAAGAATAAGAAATGTGTGCAACCCATACAATAAGTTGTTACACAGTAAATATTTTTTTTTACTCCCGTCTATAAAATACCTAATTACGTACCGATCTAGCGTGCGGGAAGCGTCGCTTTGCCACGTCAGTTTCGTTTCCCATGAATCCGTGCCGCTTCGGACGTTTCCGGGATTTTACCGCACGGGTTTGGGAGCAATCGGATGTTTTCAGAGATATTTCCCACGATTTGAATTTTGACATTTGTCAATTCTGACAGTCATGTCAGTGAATGTATTCGTATTTTGTGAAAATGTACCCAAAAACTAACGGTCGTAGAAAAAGTGTAGTACGCAACACGTTCGGTAAACTTTTTAACTCACGAGTTTATTTGACACGAGCGGAGCGAGTTTGTAATAAACGAAATGTCGTTTACCGCACTTGTTGCATAATATACTATTTCTACTATATATATTTAAGAATTAAAAAAATAGAATAATATTCTATATGCGTGTAAGATATACATACTTTTCACTGCAAAAATAGTGTGTTATACATTACGTAAGAATGCAAGATGTTAACAGAAACATTTTTGTTATCATATAAATAACTGGCGTCATCACATCAGTAAACAAAGTTGCCAAAAATACACTTATAGTACTCACGTGAACTATAAGTTTAAATTTTTAAAGATATTATTTCTATTCACTCAAAAAAAAAAACTTTTTCAAGTTTCTAACCTGGTCTTTTTTGTGCCAATCGTTTGGCCGCATTCGACAAATTCAGATTTTGTGAAGAATCGAGAAAAATCTTTCAGAACTGGGGTGCACACGTTCAACGATCAGGTATTCGAGAGCGAGATCAACCTGAAAATCAAAGAGACGAAACAGTTTTACGAGAAGATGCTGTTCAAGGAAGCGCTGCGCACCGGCTTCTTCGAGCTGCAAGCCGCGCGCGACAAATACCGCGAGTTATGCCTAGTCGATGGCATGCATTTCGTTTTCGTCCTCAAGTACATAAAAATTCAGGCGCTCTTGCTTTACCCGATCTGCCCTCACGTGTGCGAGAAGGTGTGGTCGCTGCTCGGCAATGTAAGCACTTTAACCGCCTGGAGTGGACATAAATTCACTGCTGCCACCGTTTTTGTTCTCTTTCTAGAACAAAAGTATTTTCGCGGGGCGCCGCACCGCCATCGTTTGGCCCAGTGGTGGCCCTATCAACGAGATCGACATTAAGGCGTCCGAGTATTTGATGGATACGGCGCACTCGTTTCGAATCCATTTGAAAAATCATTTGCAGGGCGCCAAAACAAGAAAAGACCCCCGCCACCAAGTGGACGTGTCCGTCAAACCGAACGTCGTAACCGTGTGGGTGGCGAAGTCGTTTCCCGAGTGGCAGAGTTGCATTTTGACCGCGTTGAAGCGCCACTTCGAGGTATGCTGCCGTGGCGTCGCGCATGCCGCTTTTCATTATCTCTTCTTAGAAAAGCGGCGTCTTGCCGGATAACAAGAGCCTCTCTGCGGAGTTCGCGAAAATGGGCGAACTCAAGAAGTACATGAAGCGGGTGATGCCGTTCGTGCAGGCGGTGCGAGAAAAGGTGGACAAGATGGGCGTCCGAGCTCTCGCCTTGACCTTGGAATTCGACGAGGCTCAAATTTTGAAAGACAACGCTATCTATTTGGCCAACACGCTCGACGTAACATTTTCTACGATATGTTTTTTTCAGATATAGGCTAGATTTCGCCGTGTTGTAGGTCGAAGACCTTGTGGTCAGGTATACCGACGAGGACGGGGCTTCGGAGAAAATGAAGGAGTGCTGTCCCGGGGCTCCGTTTGTAGTATTTTCGACCAAAAGTGGGGTTAGGGTAGAGTTCGTCAACCCGATCCCCGGTTCGGGGTTATTTTCGAAGTATATAGTCGTCAGCGACGACGACACTTACGATAAGATCGTGCAGAAGCTCGTCAGGGACGTTAAACACATCAAAGGTAACTTTTTAACGAGTTATATATTTTTTATTTTTAGAGTTTTTTTTAGATCCCAGTGCTGTTCAGTTGTGGAGGTTTGAAGATCCTGTTTTGGGTGAGGTAACAATGCCGCTTTTTAACGAGCCGACCAAAGGAAAAGTTCTCCTCGCCAAAGACTCAACATTTAAAGTCGATTCTGACCAGCTCAAAGTTTACGTCGCGTCAAAGGGGAATAAAAGTTTTGAAATCGGCAAACAGCTGACTTACCTACTGTTGCAGGAAAACTGATGAATAAATTATTTATTTTTAAAAATCGTTTTTTTTTTATTTAAAAAAATATTCTCAAGAAACACCTAAAGGGGTGCGATTAAAACGAAATAAGCAGCCAAAGAGGTAGACCCACAGACGCGTCCAAATAAGCACTTGACTTGATCCATGAGCGTAGTTACAATGAAAGGCAAGCCCAAGGACGGGGTTAAATATATCGCCCTCTTAAACCAAGGTCACGCCCACACAAGTAATTAGAACGAAAGACTCACTTAAAAGAATGTGACAATAAGACAGGGCAAGAAAGCGAAACAACCTCCGCAAGTCGAGTTGGTAAGTCTACCATCTTCGATCAACGTCATCTACGTCAACGACTTGTCAACTGTCTTTCTGAAACTACCTAATACCTTATCTCCTGCATTTATGGTACACAAAGCCGCGCCCATAGAATAAGTACGAGGGGAACATAACCTATATGCCTATACGAATTTATTGTTTATCAACAATCGAACGTTATAATGGAGAAAGAAGACGAATTTTTGCACACGTTCTTTACGCACGTCTCCCAAATGTGTTTTGATAAAGCCCGCGAACACCTCGTAAGGCGCCAGCTTTCCCAAACCTGCGGTTTTTGTACGGTTTTGTCATAGGAAAAGGAAAAACAGCCGAAAACGCCTACCAATCCCTGGACGACGTTCATCAACGTGCTCCAGCAGCTCGCACTTGCGGAAAAAAGCTACATGGACATCGGCTTCTTGCAAAACAAACCCAAGAGTTTCCTCCGCAAGGATGTAAGTATTTCTCAAAGCGTTACTCCAAAAACAGTCACGTCCGCCTCTAGAACTCGCTCAGGTCGGTCTACGAGTCTATGAGAAATGATTTTAAGAAAATTGACGACGGGTGCAGGCAAATCCCCCAACTGAAGCGCCTCCAAAACTACTGTCGGAACACAATGCAGTTTTTGACTGCGCGTATCAGTTTGATTGATTTGTATCCTTTTTTTCAAAGCTCATCCAGTGGACGCCGCTTGTTTGTGTTGTTGTTCTTAACGCACACAGTTATGAGAAAATTTACAACTTGTGCATGAGCAACAAGCACATGTTCTACAATGAGGTACTCAAAGGAATTGAGTTCATCATAAAAAGCAACGTGTTGCAATTTACAGACATTAGTATGACCCCGATGAAAGCAGTATTCGGTCTCGAGTGCGAGGTACTGCAGCAGTTGTTTGCGGCACTGCACGAGCTCCAGAGGTTGCAATTTTTGCCCTCTTTGGCGCTGATTCACGGCGCGCACACTAGATTAGCCGCTTGGGAAAGCAAAATGCAACGAGAGGTCAGTTCCAGTGCATCAATCCAGGTTCATATTCTTAAGCCCCTGAAATTTTGGTTGAATTTCAGACCTGGAAACTCGGCATCTTCAAAAATAGCCCGCTGCCCGCCCTTTTCCAGTGGTTGCAGAAACTGAAAGGCGCGGTGCTGGGCAAATTTAGCCTCTACTTTCACAACACTCTTGCTAATCAGACTACGCCCAGTGAGATGAGACATTTGTGCGCGAAATTACACGTGGATTATTATCAGAGGTTGGTTTTCTGTGTCAGACCAACTTGAAGGACCATTTTTTTTCAGAATGGTGACTTTTCAAAGAAAATACGATGCCGCTTGCGTCATTTTATTGTCGGATAATCAAGTAAATTGTGATACTACTGGCTACGACAGTTTTCCCATAATCGTATCATATCCGCCAGTAGGTATGCTTTACGCCCATTCTGATTGTGTTATGAATCCTAGCAACGTTTTTAGAGAAGTCCGCCTCAGCTGGATACCATTTTGAAAATGATATCTGACGCGAGTGATGTTTTAACCGTCAATAAATCCGTGACGAAATTTAGTTCACAGGTAGAATTCCTTCTTTTAATTGGAAATTTTTGGTAGTCTGTGGCGTTTCAGGATCAGTGTACCTACTGCCTGTCTATGGTCGAGCCGAACATATATTTCGTCATTCTGTTCGAATCAAAAAAGTCCGACAAGGATATCTGGATTGGCAACTTTGTCAACGAATTCTGCACCCATTTGAGATGCACCAAGATATTCCTCGCCCTTAAAAATGTGTCAAAATAAACGTATGACCTTGTTTCTACTTTTATTCACTATGGTTTTCGCATTATGTCCTATTTTCTGTGCGTTCATCTTTTTGTGGTCTGTGGTCGCACGGAACATCTCGGTTGGCCGTGAATTCGAAAAGCTGAGTGACAGTTTTCGAAAGCGACATCATTTCATTATTCAGAAAGTTGTAAAATGTGGCGGTTTAGAACAACGCGTGTCCAGGTGATTTGGAGTCGGGCTTATTCGAGCGACGCCAAGATTCCCGCGACATCACTCGCGACGCAGAACGTCGAGAATCGACCTGCACCGGCGATCGGGATGACGCGTAAGTCAGCTATTGCGATTTTTTCCTACTCGAAATTTTAAAAAACCGCTGCTCTGGTTAGTGGGTGCAGTTCCTACGGCGATTCCGAGAAATCCGACGGCAACGCCTACGAAACCGTTGGTCGTCAAAGAGACCGTCGCGAAAACGGCCAAACCCGATATAAAAGCAAACCCAAAAGTGTGCTCGTTTGGCGATATTCCCGGACCAATCAGTTTGCAATTGATTTCAAAGTTTTGGTCTCACGTTCCCGTCATTAGCAGCACCTTTACAGCTGGCGCCTTGTTCCAAGTAATGAACCTCGGCAAATTTTTCGGTAAGGTAACGATCTGACGTCACAACACGGTAGCGACGGTAGAGTGCTATTTTTGGTTAGCGTTGACCATGGACCAAAAAAATTAGCACACCGTGGTCCGTGGAGTTTACAAACCTTAGTATATTGTTTCAACGTCGCCTAAAATCTGTTTCATTGCCGCTACCTGTGTATTTCCCGCATATTGCGCGATCAATTGGCGAACGGGGTTCCGATTTCAAGGTAACATTTTGAGTTGGGGTGGGAACGCGAAGTTCTTTCAAAAGTTTTTCAACGTATACGGACCGGTTGTGAGGTTGCACGGCCCATTCGGCGGCGACGTAGTGCTCCTTTCCCGGCCCGAACACGCGAGCTTAGTATTTCGTCACGAGGGTGACCAGCCAGTAAGATCATGCCTGGATAGTGTTGAGAAGTACCGACTGGAGCATCGCAAAATGAGACAGGCCGGACCTTTCGTCATGTAAGCGCGTGCGCGAACGACGCACGATAGCATCATTTTAACGGATCGCGTTTCAAGGTCGGGTATGGAATGGGAACGACTACACAAGACACTGGAAAAGCCGATGGCGGCGGATGAGGCGGTCGCCCATCACTTTGCCAACATCGCGCATATCTGCGACGAATTCGTCGACAGGGTGGGAGCGGTGCGCAATTTGCAGGACGAGGTGCCCGGCGATTTCATGGCTGAGGTGCTCAAGTGGGCGCTTGAGTGCATGTGCTCCGTAACGTTGAACCGCAAGTTCGGGTTCCTCGACCCGACCGGGCTGAGCCCGACTTCGGACCCCGGACGGCTAATTGAAGCTGTCGGAGCAGCGACCGACGCGATCCGTCGCTGCGAGTACGGTGAGCTTTCCAGTCAGTTGATTCATTCGCCCATTTCCGACCTCCATCGAGGACATTTCGACACATGTTCATTGACTTTTTTTTTTAAACCTATACCCCAAAAAGTGTTATACTCAAACATTATAAACATCGATATCACTCGGTTTTATAACGAAAAACAGTGGATTCTGCAGGCAGCCGACAAGAAACAACATGTCACGCGGAATGCCACCCACAATTGTCCATCCCAGATATATAGAGTTTTCTTCTTTTTTTTTTACTAGCTTTTCGGTCAAGAAGGTAATTTTTTTTGTAAAACGTTTTTTATTGGAATTCCACCACACAAAATATGCTATCAAGATCTGTCAATTCAACAACACCCTGTCCAGCACCGTCAGTTATAACAAACACCAGAACCGACTTCCGAAAGTCTATAGCGCCGCCTGCGACATTTCCAAAGTTCGATTGGCTACGACTGCTAAAGATTTCCGTAACAGACCGGCCGATTTAGAGTTCTCCAAACGATGTACCATTTTTACGACATAATCAGTTATTTGATTTTGGTAAATTTTTATGAAGGTCTAACCGCAGGCTTATTATTGTATTATTACAAACACTAAAACGGAATAGAAATAACTCCAATACATTATCTACATAAGATTTTGTATTACTTTCCTAGGAAAATATTTTAGCGTCATTAAACCCTTAAATTGGAAATTAGTGTTTTTTAATATGGGCAAATTCAGCCTGAAATCGACTTACCTCAAGTAGGGACTATTTTAGGAAGATTATAAAATGCACACTAATATGAATTAATGTAACGGTTGAATCAAATAAAGTTTCCCCACTCTCAAAATACAACAGTTCGCACGGCACAGTTCTTGTCGGCTAACATCTTAAATACCGCACTGGCTTGGGGTACTCGTGCTGAAAAGAATGGTTCCTTCCGCTTTACAACAGGCTGGTCTTAAACTCATTCCGAAGTGAAAACCATAAAAGATTGTAAAAACGGTATATCGTTCGGAGAACTCTGCTATGACTTGATGACATAAACAAATAATTTCTGGTTCCGATCACCAACCGTCGCGACTAACGAAAACGGAACAAACGCGACACAAATGCACTCAAACCAGTACTAGATTAGGCAGAACTTCTATTTGTTACGATTGCTAGAATCATTCGGCCCGTTTACCAAAATAGTTCAACTTTGACAAAAGTAAAGTTACAGTATATGTGTCGGTCACAGACCTTGATAACTTACTAACACAAATAAACTCTGTTCGAACTTTGATCTCGAACGACGCCACAATCGATCCAAAGTTGGGGTAACTTAGCACTCCAGAACTGGTCTTCCTTTTTGCATCGGACCGCATCACGCAGTACCGTTGGCGTGCATTCGCTATAAATCGATAATATTTGCGTAACGTGTAGGTTTCCACGTGTGGAAATTTATGGAGACGCCCGCGTGGAAATCACTGGTGAAAAACTGCGATACGATCGACGCCATATTGGGCAAATACGTCGAGCATGCGCAGTCTTATCTAAAAGACACGAAATTTAAAACGTCCAATTACACGGTAATCGAGAGTTTGCTTGCGAGGGACGACGTCCTTGTCGAGGACGTCATGACGGTGCTGCTAGACATGTTTCTGATCGGCGCGAACGCACTCGCGCATTCCGCCGCCTTCCTCCTCTATCATCTGGCGAAAAATCCACGCTGTCAACGTAAACTCATGCAGGAAATCGAAAAACTGCCGCAGCAGGAGCCGCTGACCGCTAACGCGGTCCGTTCGATGAAGTATCTGCGCGCATGCGCCCGCGAAAGTTTAAGGTTAAAACCGCCCATACCGATTTTGAACCGGGTGCTGAGCGAGGACGCGGTGATACACAAATATTTCATCCCGAAAGGCACTTACGTGCTGATCGCGACCCATTTGGCGAGTCTCAGAGACGAGTACTTTGAAGACGCGCTGAAGTTTAATCCGGAACGGTGGTTCTCGCCCGAAGTGAGCCCCATCGGAGACGAGATTCAGAGGTTCGCTTCGTTACCCTTCGGTTACGGACCCAGGGGCTGCGTCGCCAAGGAATTGGCCGAAATCGAGATCGGTCTCTTGGTAATTAAAACCGTCAAGAGGTTTAAGGTGGCCTATAATTATGGCGACGTGGAAAGTTCCAACGTTTTGCTTGCTTCGCCCGCCAAACCTCTGAAGTTTACGTTGGAGGACAGAGTTTGAGCAGCGGAGAGGTTCCGTTTGTATTGTGACGCGTTTGATATCGTGAATAAATTTTTTTGAGGTTGTGCGTTGTTCTTTTTATTTATTTACACCGCAATATTAGTAGGCCAGGCAAGCTAACCAAAGCGAAATATAAAAAACATGAATTTAAAAATCGTGAAGAAAGGATTTGGACTGATCGATCCGATCTATCATCTTCGAAGCATTAGAATTACGAGACAACGTCCTGGCGGTTAATCTCCAGTGTCTGGTCTCTTTTGAGTTTTGGTTAGTTATATGTGAGGTCGCTATTATTCGCTGGTCTGTGAAAATGAACGAAGTTGATCCTCCGACCATTAGATCGCGCTGACGAGATGCAGATTCGTAAATTTGTGAAAAAATAGACGTAATTTCTCACGATCGGTAAAATCATATAGCTATTAGGTAACATAGTAGCTCTCGTACGGTAAAGATTGGTGCACCTTGAGTAGCTGATATTTTCGTAGAGACGGGATTGATATTTTCTGCGCAAATTTCCTGTGTTGTAAACAGGCACATCACCCAAGAACATAACTTACGAATTCAATAAGTACTTTAGTAGTGTGGGGAAACACTTGCCGGGTAGATCAAAAGGGCAAAAACTGTAAAGTTTAAACAGAAAAAAAGTAATTTTAGTCACCAATACTAGAAAGAGAATTAATGCAAATAATAAAATTGATGAAAAATACGGATTCAAGTGTGGGATGGTATATCTAACACTCTTAGAAAAACATAGAAATATTTTACTACACTGCTCTTATATTTCGTTACCCTGGTGTTCTTCAAGAGGGAGTCTTCCCTGACATTTTAAGGGATCGGTTATTATCCCTCTATATAAATCAGGTTCGAGAGACCAAATGTCGAATTACAGGCCAATTGCACTGGTACATGGTGTTGATAAAGTCCTTGAAAAATGTATAGCAATTAGATTAAACTAATTTTTACAAAAAAACGCCATATTCACGCCACTTCAACACTTGGCTTTAGGAAAAATGTAGGTCGCTGGCGGAATATAGTCCGATCTTTTAATGACATTACTGTTTTTCTCGATTTGGGCAAGGCATTCGGCACAATATCGCGCCATATCTTGCTTTAGAGACTTGTATTAATGAGCCAGCAAAAAAACTAATTAAATCATACCTGCAACATAGAGCGCAAAGGTTAAACTAGGTGATTCCCTGAACTACTCTCTTCCGGTAGGGTATGCTTCTGGGGGGCCAATATTGTTTACATTATATATGAATGGAATATTTTTCATTTTACAGAAGGGAAATATTGTCTGCTATGTGGATGATGCAGCATTGATTATTTTTGAAAACACTTGGAAAGAAACTGTCGCAAAGGTTGAACAATTACTAAGTCTGCTTAAGAAATGGCCATTTATTAGTTATTCCATGACGAGAGCTGGTACTCCAAACTTGCAAATAAACAAAATTCATAATTTTGACTGTGGCTATGACACGAATTGTAAATGCGATCTTTACACAAATTCTACCAAAAAGTTAAAATATTTAGTGGTAGTTAGAATCACTATGAAAATTCGCAAGTTATTCCATTTTTTTTTATATTACGTCATTTTATTTATTCTCTTTCAATTAGCCAGAAGCGTGTTTTGAAAATAATATTCAAAAACAAAATATATCCTTCAAAAGAATTGTTTACTGAAGCGAAAGTACTAAGTATCAACAAAATCCACAGTCATCAGACTATTAAGTCGTAACAAGATTCATAAAGAAACAATCAGCCATTCAGTAAAAACCAAACCAAAAACCAAATTAGGTCGTGCCAGTACCGATGGTAAAATTTACTTCAGTGCAGAGGAGCCTTCTGTTTGCAGCCCCTAGAATATATAACGCCTTTCCAGTGTATTTGCAAAATAGGATATACACAAAATTTAAGAGGATTGTTCACTCCTGGTTGTTTGCTGACTATGACATTCTGGAAGTGATAAATTAGCTGTGAATAAAATTAAGGGGGTGATAGATTTAATAACAATGTTATTTCATTTAACTTAAGTTTTCAATTCAAATATTGATATGAACTTAGTCATAACTAGTAAGGTAAGCTGCATTAGACTGAACATATGCACTCAAAATTTTCTCAAATTCATTGTGCGTTTGTGCAAATATTATTACTATACCTTTAAATCTCATCCACTAGTCTGCACTTTGCGCTATTTTCTAAAGAGTGATCTCCACATAATTAGTTTTCCCAAAACATTTAAAGGTATCTGGGCATATTCTAAGAAAATAGTACTGTGGAAATGCGACATCTTAATCGAAACCTGTCGAATTGACGAACTGTGAGAGGTAATGAAGGAGGTTATTGTACACCACCAAGTATTATTGGTTGAAAACCAGATTTCAGTTGGTTGACATGCGCTTTTTAAATGGTCAGCTCAATTTTGTTCATCGTCGCTTCAAAAATTGTTATATTACCAGCATAAGCAGTGCCTTTATACATAGTAGTTATCTTGTTTAAGGAACAAACTCCATGCTATAGGTCCGTCGTGTTGAAAATGAATAAATAAAAGTCCGCCATAAACGTTATTCAAATTTATTCAATTCGAAAAGTTCTATGTACACGTTTTTTTCCTGTTTTTAAAAATCTAAAATATAAAGTTTTTTCTTTCCTAAAAAATACGAACGATATAATTATAATGTATATCCCGCGTCTAAATTATTTATTTACAGCGCGGTAAATAGATTTCTTCCGAAATAAAAATCACGAGCGCACAAATCTGGTCGGTACGCGTTTCTTCTCGGTGTGGGGAGTTGAAAGAGAGATCACAGAATTTTGGCCATGCGTCGGCAGCGGGTCGACTAAAATGAAATTCGTTGCTGTACAAAAGGCTGAAGAAAAAAAACAAAAAGAGGCCACAGTTACTGGAATGTGGTGTTCGCCTTTTTTTCTGAGGACGCGGCTTCCGAAAAAATTAAGAAAAAAATAAGCCACTATTACGACGAAGACGTCTCCCGATCCGCTATTATACAGGGTGAGCGAAAAAAAATTAAAGCTGCCTTATTGCGCGCGCGCTTGCTGCACGACAGTCGTTTATTTTGGCACATAAGTTTCCCCTCATAATGTCGATTGCACTAATCTCGAATCGATTGGCACCAAAGTCACTATATATAAAAAAAACACCATCTATGCTTGTTGCCCCTCCCCCCCATACGCTTAATGAGCGATGGGCGGATCGGGCGAGCACACGATGTTGACGTGGCGACTCGTGCTGCTCAGATCAGTGGGGCCGTCGTCGACACTAAGATCGGTAGGCGACTCATCGTACGAACTTTCCACCTTCATTTCCAACTGGTGGTGGGAGGGTTCGGGCAACTTTAAACGGGACGCCACGGCTTCGGACACCTCCGTCACTCGTATCGACGATTCGACCGGTTCCGGTTTGATCGCCGCCATCAGCTGCATCTGAGGAGGTTTCGTCGAAGTCGGCGACATCTGTTGGCGCAGCAGAGAGATATTTTTGATGTTCTTTAATTCGGTTGGGTTGCGCAGGAATCTGTAACACCACACGTTTCCTGCATATCTCTGACCAAGCATAGGCAGGTAAAAAATATTTTATGCACAAAAGATACGAAACAACCAAAAAATAACGTCCGATTTTTATTTAGTGAAAATGGCGTTGAAAAACGACCGAATGACTTAAAAATGACGCGAAATCAATCTCCAACATTATTCAAAACTAACAATTAACCGAAAAGTTATGAAAATGCAGGTGTTGTGTGTTAATCTATCTACTCGAAATCATGAGCGGAAACCATTTATTTGTCCCAATAAGAGGGGTTTTAAGAACATATCTGCTTTTCTGAGGTAGATTTGGGTGTATTAAGAGGCGAAAAAGCAGATTCTGGCAAGGATCTTATGGAAATCGGCAACTATCTGACTCAGTAAGGGGGTTTTACACCGATATTTAATGGTTTATAAAGATTTTCTCTACTATAATACTTAAAGACGCCAATTTTGGCTAGTATTTGAAAGATATTGACATGAAGATGTAACTTTTTGGATCAAAAATTGATAGTTTAAGCTGATATTTGCAGTTTTGATGCGGTTTTAGGTACGATATGAGTCGGAGAAGCCGATTTTGACTGGAATCTGTTTAAAATGAGAAGGAAAAACCTGCTATCAATCAACGGATAGAAAATATTCCGGTAGAAAACTACTCTGTGTCGACCAACTCTAATTACATCAAATTTTTATCAATTCGCAAGTTTCTACCAAAGACGACGCAAAACCAACGCAAAATCGGGTCATAATTGCGTCGAATATTGGTCGTTTTCCTGGTTCTGATCTGATTTTGACACTCCCGTTCACTTACTGGTAACAGTGTCTCTCGCCCTGGACTTTCCTCAGGATGTTGACGCGGTAATAGTAGCGAAGCGCCCGCGACATCTTGTCGTAGTTCATCGAGAGGTGATTCTTCTGGATTCCCCAGAGCTTGGCGAGGCCCGCGGGGTCCACGATTTTGAATACGCCCGTTTCGCGATTCTTCCACGCGATATAGCTCGTGTACCGCTGAGATGGATCATTGAGTAACTGTTGCAGGAAGTCCCAAAGCAGTCTGCCGTCTAAAATAATTTCGGTCGGTATCGCTCGGGCGGGGCGCGGGGTTAAAGGGACTCACTGGTGTTTGGTTCCGGAGACTCCCCGGCGAAAAACTCCCTCTTGTACAGACCCGGACTGGACACAGACTCCAACTTGGGACTTCTAGGGGTCAGCAGCGACATGGGACTCATGCCGACGTAACCCGGCGTACTGGGCGGGCTTCCCACGTAACCGGTTTTCGAGTCCATCGGATCTTCGTCGGAATCGGACGGATTGGAACCGCTCCCGTTGGAACCGCTACCATTCGCGCTATTAAAAATCGAATGGCCGAAAGTTTGGGGTAAATCAGCGTGCTGAGGACTCCCCGATTGACTGTCCAGAGACGGTGCCGGACTCAGCGTCACCGAATTACTCTGAGCCATTATATGGGCCGCTAAACTGGCCGCATGCGACGAATGGAAGGACGCAGAGTCTCCTTGAGCAACGAGGTTCCAAGTGGGAGTGGGCGGTTGGGTGGTATGTGGCGACAAAGGGTACGGGTGCCGCGACGTAGGCGTTATCGGACTATTCGGCAGGATCCGTTGGAGGTTATTTGCCTCACGTACCAAAATCTGCAGGACGTTGTGCAGCACGTCGCCCGAACCTGGGGCCCTTTCGGCTAAATCGGTCCTCGTCAATAGGCATACCGCTTTGCCGTTCATTTGAAACATGTCCATGTCGATAGGTTGCAGGTCGAATTCCCGCTCCGCCCACCTGATGAACGTCACCACGTCGTCGCGCGACCACACTCTGGGGTCGGACGCTAGCGACGCAGGCAACTGACTCTTGTAGTCCCACAAAGGAGACGACGGATGTCCACCTACTGCCGGGAATGTCAACGGGTACCTCCATAGGAGATCCGGACTGAACGGCAACGGTAGCGGCAAGCGATCCATAGGGCCGCTCGTGCTAGTGGAGGTCGGGATCGGCGGCAACGGTCCCGGTACTAGTTTCATCCTTTTCTGGATCGAAAAACAAATCCACATTCAGTTTAATCGGCGATTTGTTTATGAGCGAAACGATCTCGTCGCCGCCTACGAGTGATCGCGCCGTTTCGTTAGAAGTAGACGTTCGCGGAAGCCGCGTCCCAAGGCCAAGAGTGCGCTTTTGAAACCCACGTTATTAACATATTAGCGTTTTCCGGTTTTTCGACAGCGCCGTTTCCCCGTTTAAATTTCATCTAAGGTGTTCGTGGAACCGCTGACGTTTTGTGACGAGAACAAAGTAGGCGACGTAAACGCAAACCGCGCGTGGTTTTTACTTACAGCGATTCTTAGGTGCGGCGGATTTCCCGTGAGGCCCCTTTGACCGCACGCCGAAAAATTCCCGCTACGCGAATTATCAAAAGGCCAGAACAATTTGCTGCGGAATACATCAGCAGCGCCTTCCGCGCTATACTAAGCCTGGCAACAGAATCGACAGTAATAATTATTTCCCGAATATCGCGGACGACGATAAGGAAACACGAATTGACGTCAATCGGGTTCGATATTACGGCGGTTTTTTTTTCCGTCGGACGGATTTTTGTCGACGATTAGCCCGGGTCCGGCTAATTATCGTTATTTAATGGCGCTTTGCCGCGCGAGCGGCGGTGACGCGGTCGAAATTTCCGCGACTAATTCGATTTTAAGCGCGACGGCGACGGCGTCCGGGAACAGGAAGAAGGCACTCCGCGAAAGATAACGCGCTACACGTCAGTGCCGCACTCGAAATGTACGCGCGTAAACTACGCGTGTGAAAAATATCCGGCGATCGATAAATTCTAGTTGCGAAACTAGTAAGAAACTGCATAAAAACTGCCCAAATGCGCAAGGAAAACACATACATGGGCAACAAAAACGATTATTAATAAAATCACGGAGATTGGAAGCGTTGCATTGACAACCTAAGTGGTCCGCAGAAACACCGCAGAACCGTTTAAAATTCCATCACCGCCGTTGAACCTTGCAGCGCTTTTCCGAAAACTACCTGTATTAGCGTTATCTCGACAGGCAACTTCCGGGTACGCCGACTTATCTTGGCGCGTTTAATCGTTATTGCAGGGACACGCGGTAAACGTCATGTCGCGGACATTTCAAAGACGCCTCCGTTTCTCCGTCGTTACGTAACTTGCGGAAATACCGCCCGCGCGCATCCGTGACGTCACGTGCGGTCCAACAGGTGTGTGTGTGTGTGTTGTGTGTGCGAGATACGCAAATACCAAATAATCACCTTATCCACGTTGATCGGCTGACGATTATATCCGGGTTCGCGCAAGACACTCAAACACACATCGCGTCACTGTATCCCGTGCTCTTTTACGCGAGCGGTATCCAACTATTGCCCGGACGGAAGGGAGTTTATTGGGAAACGAAGCGCCGAACGCAAAAAAAAAACAAAACAAAAACTACGTGGGTAACTGTGACTGCCAGTGCTTGCGCGAGCGACAGCGGCCACCTTACCACAACCGTCTTGCTGCTAAACTGTTTTTCGGATCGCACTTGCTGTGTGCACGGCTCTCAGAGAGTCGTGGGGGCGTTGGGAGGGGAGGTGAAAAGCGTACGCGGACGCACACACAGCATGCACGCGTTCCGAGCGACGTTGCCAGGTCCGGTGATACCGGATCTACAAACACTTGCGGCAGCGGTGGTGGGGAGACCCGGCTCGACTTCCTACTCGTTTCCACTCATACACACACACACGTCGAAATCTGTGCCTGCGTATTCGCCGCCACCGCCACCGTCGCGTCCCTTTGGGTTATCTGTGTTGCGCCGCTGATACTACGATTTGTCGGTGTTGATTTTGGTGGTTTAATTTTCTTGATAACGGGCTGTCGAGTTGTTATATCGACATCGTTGTATCTTTTTATTATTAAAATGAAGTCCACTTGGTACTATAGGAAGCAGGGAAAATTATTGAAAATGATTATTTATGGAAAATCCGTACTTTTAAACTTAGACTTCGGCATGTTTAGGTATTTGGCTGTTTTGCTAACAGATATTTTATAAAACATCTGTTACAAAGGGCATGCGATTGAGAAGGGATATATTTGTAGATCTGTTCAAAAATCAATCGGATGCCATTCTATAATGTTACATTATAAAAAAATCTATTAATTAAAATTTATTAATATCTATTCTTAGGTACTGCATCTAATAAAATATATGTAATAACAATTTTTTTGCTGTTTTTTTTTTTTGGCCAATAGCAAATCAGGTTTTCAAACGAGTGTCAAGCAAGTTATCTTCAGAAAAGACCTGAGACTTGGCAACAATGCATGCAAACACTTGAAGGAAATTTTATGGATTCATTGGAAACCTCGAGTTAAAAACTGTTAAAATTGATACTTTATAGAATGACACCCCGTATGTTTATTAAAAGAATGTAATTCAAAATCGCGTTATGCGAATACGGAAAACTCGTCAAACGGCGAGAACAGCGTCCACAAGTGGGCATAAAAGTCGTTGAAAGACGTTATCGCGTTGCGCGAAAACAATCGAGGATGGGTTTATTGTGAATTATAAATTCCGCGAATCGGCTGATAACTGGAGTGTTTTTCGATTTCAAGGTCGTCCAAATCCGCCAGGCGACATCGCGCCCTGGGGATGTCAAGGCGCAAAAAAGAACGATTAAGAAGGAGAGTTTCTTCTGTCCAATGGCCGACGCGGGATTTAAGAAGAAGCCACGCCGTCGTTGATTTCTGGAACGGAAGTTTTGCAAGTTTCTCCCGCCGTTCAGGTTGGCCTTCGCGGGAATTTTTGCCACCCCGTTGACGTCAATACGTCGTTGGTGTTACGCGGTTTTTAGCTTACTTGCTAACTGTACTTTTGCGTGCCGATAATGTGCGTTATGGGAACGTGTTTTTCTTGCATTTTGGAGGTGGGTGAATTTTTCTATTTTAGCTCGTAGGGGTTTGGCGGTGTTAAGTGAGAAGTGAGGTCGGAAGAATTATTTCTGAACGGAAACAGGTTAGAAGGGTTTTTCCTATAGGTGCTCGTTTGTGTATGATGATTACACAATTTTGGCTTTCAATTTCGTTAAATTTTACATTAAATAACCAAAACTAATAAGCTGTGATTAACCGGCCTAAGGGCCACATAAGAAATAATAATTCGAGATCTAAGTATATAATCATATTTCCCTTCCTTAAAGGGCACCTACTATTTTAGGATTCGTTTCCAGAAGGGAATTAATGAAAACTGTTTTTAAAAGGACGCCAAACATAAGTATTACTAGAGTCTGTTTTTGGTTTCATTTTAGGATTCTGAATGGTTCTAGGACGAATCTCACATGCGCAGTAAAAAGAAAGAACCGTTCCAAAATGATTGTTAAAAACGGCGATAGTCTTTTATACCTGAATTTTTTGACTTTAGGTTATTTTGGAGTTGGGTTAAATCATCCCAGAGTTAGCTGTCGATTTTAGGTTAACTAGTTGTTTGTTTTTGGGTATATTTTTGCAACAACATGAATATATTCGTCAAAATTCAAGCGATAAAATCTTCGAAAACATCCAATTGCTTTCAAACCGGTAGTATCCCGGAAATGCCCGAAGGAGGAAGAAATTCACGTAGTAAAATTGAATTTTAAAATGAAATCTAAATCCCGATTTGCAGTTTCAATTTCTATTTTTCGGAAATCACTCTGCATCACTTATATACCGCCTCACTTTAAGATATTATGCTATAGGCAGCTTTTTAATAAGTGTGGCAGACACGTTTCAAAAACATCTGCAGCTAATTAAAAGGGTGATAGATGCGTTGGCAGCTCTAGCATCTAGAATTATAAAAATAATTCTTACAAATGAAGAAGAACTAAGTGGGAAATCTAAATTAACATTTATCACTTAAACTGTTTCTCAATTCCTGTCCAGCCTTTCTCTTTGTCATTAATGTTGTTTTTGAGAAATGACGCTTCATAACGGTTAATCCGACCCTGAATCTGAATCATTGACGTCATCTCCTCGATTTTATTTCTTCACACTTTACACCACCAATGATCCTAAAAAGGCGTTCGTTTTTACCAAATGACAGTTCTAGAATCAAGCCCAGGCGCACCTAATTCAAAGGAGAATTCAAAGAACTGTTCTAGCCCAACGTTTCAAATCCGAAACAATGATGTTTCGCGGGTTGTGTAAAATCGTCGGTGAATCACTGCTCCGCGCGCGAGATCGTTTTCCGAGACGAATTAGGGTGAGGAAGGAAGTCGAGCCGCTGCGAAACTTTGCCAATTCAGCGGCCTTGGTATGGCCCGACGACGCGGCCGCCTCGCATTTTTTCTCTCCATCTCGAAATATTTTATTAAACAAATTCGGAACGGGTCGTGTGCGTTTGACGTCAGCGTGCGCGGTGATTGTTCGTCTCGTCCTTTTACGGCCCGCCGTCCGGAATTTTGTGTTCTCCGCGCTTGCCGAATCGAAAAGCCACCATAAGGATTTTAGATGTTGGGTGGGCCTGTTGAAAATCCGTGGTCGTTTTGTTCTAATAAAAAAGCCGCGTTTAAATGTAGCAAGTAGAATTTTTCACACTTACGACCATATCCTTACCTATCCCTATGATAGCTAAAATGATAGACCTGGTTTACGATGAAGTTAGAAGCACGTCATAACTAACCCATTTTTGACTGAAATAAGTTATCGGTGCCCAGACGTTCGTTCGGTGACCAATTATTTTACTCTCTAGTTTTGGTAAAAATATTCTTTTCAGTCGGCCAAGGAATAATTTTCTGGCCATGATGTTACGTTACCCTCCGGTAAATTTAAATTTTGTACATGATATTTTTATTTCATCAGTTTCCTGTGTGCGTTGTGTGGTTTATTGTGATATTTCTCCGATATTCGAAAATCAAAAAAGTTGGTTTCGTTCACAATTTGGTGCTGTTAAGGCGTGTTAACACGGCGCGTGAATCGGCGAGACACAAGCCTGACTTGCCAAACTTCGCGCCGTGGGAATGTGCTGGGTCTTGGTTGCTGGCGCTGCTCGGACTTTTCCGCGTTCTGTCGGTAAGTTTAGCACGAGCCAAAGACCAACCGGACCATTTTTTTTCGGACTCGGCTAGTAGTTTTTACCCCATTCCAACGGCGCGGGAAAGTTTTGGCAAGTTTTACTACTGTCAGTAGTGTCCAAACACTGCGTGGAAGAGTCAAATTTGATCATAAATAATATAAAAAAAATGGAATGGACCAACGATTTAGTCCTTAATATTTTGAGTGCTTAGCAGGAGGAAGCTGCTGTACCCGAAGGATACGTCGATGAAAAAGTGTTTTTTAAGATTTTAATAATAGAATTGAAGAAAAAACTGGGTCTGGATCTCATGAAGGGTACTTTCATACTTATCTTTTACGGCTTTTATACAATGATGTTCTCCAGCATCTTCTTTTTTTAGCCTTTCGTATGTTTACAGAACAACCTAATATAAATACATAGCCACAGTTAAAGCAGCAACTCATCTTTGTCGATTATTCATCTTTACTTTTTTACTAAAGATAGCATGCGACCTCACTGACACTAGCCAGGGATAATATTGAAATCAGAATTTTATTTTGGGCTTGTCAAGCTAGCACGAGCCCACCGGACGAACTGACACAGGTCGTGGGATTGCACCATCTTGCCAATCCTTTTTTACCGAGCCTAACCTAAACGAGCAACAGCACACCCAATTCACAATCCAGACGCCGTTGGATCTCATTTTTATGGATTCATCCAAGTCTTCAACGCTGAAGAAAAAGTCCTACTAGTCTGAAATACAAATATTTTTGCAGTGGTAGTTCTTAACCAATCTAATTTGATTTCTTTTTGACATATGCCATCGGAATCTGTCAAGCAATATGGCGCACATGCTTCTTTCAAAAGGGCTATAGAGACTTGCCTGGACGGTATGGTTTGCGCAAAAAAGACGGAACACTGTGCAGTGTCCAAATAACTTTGCACAAACTTTACTATCAAAAGGTTTAATGAAGTTTTGCATTCGGTATTTATGTTACCAAATGTCGAGTTGGTGTTTTTTTATTGCTTAATTAATTTACCAAAAATAGTTTGTGCAAACTAAAATCTTCAACAGTAAATTATAGTGAAATTTTTTTGACATAATGACAATTTTTTTGACACATTTTTTATTTAAATGTCTTTACATTTAGGAAAAAGAGCGCCTGAGAATACTCTCGGAGACATGCCTGTGCTGGTATCATAGACTGTA